TACCTGTTCGTCCTGATGCAAAATGTCTGAAAACCGTACTTTGAAAAACCCTGCTCTGAACCCAACAAACTAGAGCCCTTTTAGTTGAGAGATAGTCCTTAGTCCACATGAACTGTAGTGTAGAAGCTGCTGGAGTTTCTTAGCAGTAAGGAAGCTGGATGGGGTGCAGATGTTTGATTGTGGTTTGGCTGTTGAAAGGGACATAGCAGAAACTAAATCTCTAACCTGGGCTTAGACTTATGATCAAAAGTAAATTCATGGTATTTAAAAATTGTTTTGCTAATCAGTGTTTTTTTTTCTTTCTGTTGGTTAAGGTTGCATGATGGAATTTGAACATTACCTCAAGAAGTTTTATGTTTTGGATTAGCTAATTGTGCTTGTCCTGCTGACCATTTCTTCGGACTCATTTTTGTGTGTCCTTTTGAGGCCATAAACCCAAAGGGATTATACCATGGACTACAAGGAAAGCTGCCCAAGTGTAAGCATTCCCAGCTCTGATGAACACAGAGAGAAAAAGAAGAGGTTTACTGTAAGTATGTAGCATAAAGCATATGGGAAAAAGTGGAATATAGAGAATATTTCCCTTTCTGCTTTTGTTCTTCCTTAACCTAGAACGTCCTCTCCCTCTCTTCACATATCCAGATATTACCTATCTTTCAAATGCTGTGTCCTCCATGGTCTTTTTTGTATGTAACGGAATACAGTTTCTTTCCCAGTACAGAGTTTTACCTGTTTACCTATCCCCTTGGAGAAGCTTACGATACTCTCTGAGACCCTCTCACCAGAAAATGTGTTTGGGTAGCGATCCACTGTGCAGGCACAGTCTGATGTGCGCTGTCGGGGGGTTAATGCTAAGAACCACTATCTTGGAATTTCCGTGGTATCTTTTTTAGGACATTTATTATTCCTACCTCAATTTAAAAAATATGCAATCCAATCTTTTTTCACCTTAAAGGCATAGCCCATTTCTAATTTTACTTTTACTGTTTTTTTTTTGACCCGAAGATATTTTTTTCCATTGATTTTTAGAGAGTTAAAGGGAGGGAGGGATGAGGGGGAGAGAGAAGGAAAGAGAGAAACATCAATGTGAGAGAGACACATCGATTGATTGCCTCCCACATGTGCCCCAACCAGGGCTGGGAATTAAACCTGCAACCCAGGTACGTGCCTGTTAACAGGAATCAAACCCACTACCCTTTGGGCTGAGGGCCGATGCTCTAACTGATTGTTGAGCCACACCTGCCAGGGCTATTTTTACTTTTTATCACCGTAAGATCTATGCTAGGGCTTTATGAAGAATAAACAACAAATATTTGCTGAACCAGTGTATTAGTGACTATTACTGGAGAATAGTCACTTTTCTAAACATATTATATTTAGTTTCGTTCGTTCTTTTAATATATATAGAGATCTCCTGCCTGCCTCCTTCTGAAAGAATGTCATTTATCTATAACTGGTCTGGTCTTCCTTGTAAACCCCTACCCACTGAGTGATCTACATGAATTCATTTAACCCAGTTCTATTTGAGCTAAAATTTTAGCAATTCTTTTAAGTAAAAATGCCCAGGCTGTCTCCATTCTGTCCAGCTGTCTCCAAAATGCCCAGGCTGTTTCTTTGTCTTACTGAACACACACTCCTCCACCTTGACTTCATGGTTGAAGGGAAGTGCGGTCCCCTTTCACAGTGTTTGTTGAATTGATGACTGACCTCATGGTGTCGGTAACCTGGTTAAGACCTTTGCATTCTTGTCGTCCCTCTAGATCTTTGCCATTCAGGTGTGGAGTGACTGGTTTGGCAAACAGCTGGCTATGCTTGACCTGACCAGCCCTGGGCATTTTGCTGGCATCTATTGCTGGCATCTGCAGTTGATAAACTGACTTGTTATCTATTCTTCATTTGGGTTGGTGGCAACTCACTGCCTCCCCTTGGCTCTCAAAGGCTACAGAGCCCACTGAGGTTCTGACACACCCTTTGCCTGCTCCTGAATCAAGTGATCTACCCAAGCCTCGGACCAAGGGTCACTTGGTCCTGCTAATGGAGCCCCATGAAAAGTGACTTTCAACTGAGAGTCCATTTCACATGGGATTTGTGGGAAGCTGAGGAGTTAAATTAAACTTTTTGTCTGACAACTCCACTCTGCCTTCTTAACTAATTGGAGCTGGGGTGCCCCAATGATGGTTTTTCCCTAAAGTTCCAGACAAGGAGCTGGAAACAGCCCCTCTATCCTCTGTGCTCCGTTTCTTAATACCTCCACACCCTGCACCAAAGCCCAGAGCAGAGGCATTATAATGTGTGTCTGACCATTTGCTCCCCACCAGTCTCTGTAGTAATATCTTAACAAGCACTGTGCATTTGTTCCACATTTGTATAAGCAGATTTTAGAAATACCACATTGATGGTAAACAATAGGTCAGAGTACCTTTGATAAAATAGTGAAATGTGTGCAAGTTTTTCTTTCTTCCCCATCCTTATTTTTTTAAATATGTTTTTATTGGTTTTTTACAGATAGAGGAAGGGAGAGAGAGATAGAAACATCGGTGTGAGAAACATTGGCTGCCTCCTGCACGCCCCCTGCTAGGGATTGAGCCTGCAACCTGGGCATGTGCCCTGACTGGGAATCCAACGAGGACCTCTCGGTCCATGGGACTCCGCTCAATCCATTGAGCCACACCGTCCAGGCACCAATTGATGATTTTTATTAGAACTTATTCAGTAAGCCCTTGTTAATAAATCCTACTGCTGCTGATGATTCACGGGGCTTTATCTTCGCTCCTGTAAACATATTTGCAGCAGAGCTGCTTCAGCCTTGAATCCAGGCTTGGGTACTAGTCTTGGCGATACTTGGGTAATGATGGGAAGCCGCCTTACCATACCAGGAATTAGCACAAATAATCCAAGAAGCTTGCTATCAGATAAACCTAAGTTTCGGATCCTTTTGTAGCAGTCCTGCTCTGGGCCTATTCGATCCTGAATGATGTGTGAGATAAATATGTAGTCCAGTCTCAGAAGCATGGCTCACCTTCGCTGGCACCTTGACCAGGTTCTTGACCCTCTACTTCTGCACGCTCTCCATGTGAGCAGTATCATCTGACAGACAATTCTGACATCTTACATCCAATCGCTTCCTCTAAGACAACATGATACCTCTTGGTTAGGACCAGAAGAGCCATATCACCACCCTATAGCTCATGTAGGGTGTTCTTTTCTGTCAGTCTAGGTGACTTATCACTTGCCCAGGTGTCTGATATTAGTGACTTTGCTTCATCTTCCAGGTGAATCCTTACCACCTCCCACTGTTGGCCTGTTAATGTGATTGTATCTTAAATGATACTACAGAATTTGTACAATATAATCACACACAGTATCAGGGAGGTCCTTTCCTCACAGTATTATCTAACTATGCACTTGTGAATATAGCTTACCAACCTTTCATGGGAAAAGATAGTTTATATATGTTTCTATGCCTATCTTCCAAAATTAACCTGGTTTACTTTAACTTGTCTAACAGATTATGGGCAATTGTAAATAAATAAATTCCAAAGCAGCTCGTATCTCTTTGCCCTAGTCTTATACTGTAAAATGAAGAGATTGATAACTTGAGCTGTATATCAGTGAGCCTTTTCTCATAAACCTGAATTCTTGTTATTTTTCTCCTTTGAAATGATAGATACAAGATTTTTTGTGTCCCAAACAGTTTTCTTTACGTTGGTATGTTAAATTATAATCTGAGAGTATCTATGGGATGAATTATGAGAGTTGATTCTGTGTTATAGCTGTTGATTATTTGATACTGCTTCTGGTGCATGGAGGGTTAAAAGATTTAGATCTGAGTCTCACAAATCTCTGTACCTGGGCAAGTTACTTAACTTTTTTGGGCCGTCATTTTACTCGTCAGAATGGGGGTGAGGGGAGGCAGTGTACTACTTGTTCTGCTTACTTCATAGGGTTGTTGACTGTGGTTATATGCAATTATGTGTATATGAAAATATGTAAGGTAGTAGTAGGAAATCTAAGGATAAATTCTTAGTTTGAAAAATACTGTGCAAAAGATGACCTGGAAGAAAGAGAATTAATAATTGAGTGTTTACTATGTGCCAGGCATCACTTTTGAAAATACATGATAGTTTCAGGGTAATGGTACTGCTGGGGAAGAATAGAGGAGAGTATCAGTTGAATCTATAATGTTTTATTCTTGGTGGAAAAAGAAACAAGAATGGCAAAATGTTAGAATTCATCTAAATAATGAGTACACAGGTGTTCACTGTGTTATTCTCTGAAAATTACAGAAATATTTCAGAACATTTTAAAAATAAAGTATCACCTTTCAACAAGATAAAAGAAATGTTGCAGTTGGTATACTTGTGTATCTTGAAGAACCATATATAAACATTCATGTTTAATATTAGTTTCATGAGTATAAAAACATTATTTACACACTTAAGTAGTTAAATTTTTTGCAGTAAAATTTTATTGTTCTATTTACTGGAAACAGCCCAAATGTCCATCAGTAGACGAATGGATAAAAAAGCTGTGGTACATATACACAATGGAGTACTATGCAGCTGTAAGAAAGAAAGATCTCTTATCCTTTGAGACCATATGGAGGGACCTGGAAAGTTTTATCTTAAGCGAAACAAGCCAAACAGAGAAAGACAAGTATCATATGATCTCACTTATTTGTGGAATATAATGAACATAACAGTCTGAGGAATGGGGTAGTCCCAGAGATGTGGAAGTGGGGTACAGACTGACAATACCCAGAAGAGGGGGTGGTGGGGGAGAGATAAACCACAGAACTTATATGCATGTACGCATGAACGATGGACATGGACAACAAAGCTGGGGACAGGGCGGGGAGGGAGGGGGAGGGGGGAAGCAGTGGGGGGGGGGAAGAAACAGCTGTAACAAAAATTAATCAAATAAAAATAAATAATTTTATTGTGCTATTTAAATTATTTTTTGTTTTCACAGGTTTATAAAGTTCTGGTCTCAGTGGGCAGGAGTGAGTGGTTTGTCTTCAGGAGATATGCAGAATTTGATAAGCTTTACAATACTGTAAGTAATGGTCAGTTTACAAGATTTTTATTTGAAACAATACACTTGAAGAAACTAAAAAATAAGAGAGCTTTTGAGCGATTAAATAATACTCAAATATACATCAGACAAGCAGAAAAGAGTAAGATTCTTCAAAAGCATTCTAACTTTGGAATTCTTACACAAAAGGGTGGAAAGGGGACCACTGAGAAGTTTCAAATAAAGTATTGAAGGTATGAAAACTAGATGCACAGCTTAAAATATATTTTAATATTATAGAATATTAGAGATAAATCCTTTATATCTACCTCTCTAATAATTGTTAATCATCTTGTTATTTCTGGTTAAATTGCCCAATTCTTAGCTTTATTGTGTATTCTTCTGTTGTTTAGTTTTTCTTTAATGCATATGAAAGTAAACTTGCTGTATATAGTTTTGTTATAAGATAGTAAGTAGCTAGGAAAATTCCAGGATTAGGGAAGCTGAGGTACATAGTTGAACAGCACTTTGCATCCACCTCGTAAATCCTGTCTTTCTGAAACCAAGGACATGTAAGAGTAAATGGTTTGCACTTCTCCTCCCCAGGAAGAGCGTAAATAGCTTAAATCACCCTACTCAAAAAAATAAATCATCTATTCAGGGAGTCAGATAACAGAAATCCAGTTGGTGCCATTGGCCAGCCACACCCAAGGACAGACAAATGAGAATAAATCTCAATTTGGCATATCAGCATAAAGCTGATGAATATTCTGTTGATCTTCCCCGTAGACCTCCCCTATTGCCCAGCCTTTAAACCCCCTGAAAACAAAGGTTCCAGCATGTTCTCCTTCCCAGGAGCACATCCTGTGCTTGCTTCCCCCCTCTTACTGTCTTCCCCCACAGGCAAGCATCTCCTAAACTCTAAGGGTCCCCAGGAGACTTGCAACCAAGGGAGTGATGGGCAGCAGCAGCTTGTCCCTAGCTAACCCCCTGAACTTGTCTCCAGGGCCCCCTTTTCTCTGACTTCCCAGTGAGCCAAAGCAGCCCAGTCTAGGTTGTAACATATTAAGACAGTCGTTTTTTACTGTAAGTGAAGTCACACTTTTGAAGTAGAGTAATAGCCAGTAAGAGTTTGTACATGAGAACATCTTCTGTAATTTTTTCAGTGATTTTTAAAAAATGGTTTATACTAGAGTTTGGGTGAGGGTTGAATTGCTCGCTGTATTTGAAATTCTTGGATACCATTATGTATATGATTGGTATTTTTTTGATGATTGTACAAATCTGAGTGTACCTATCAGGATACCTGGGTTATACTCAGGTAAAAATAACATGGTGGTTACATAACATGCGTACACACTCACATAGAGGGTTTATATGCACTTCTTTTTATTTTTAGTCCTCACCCGAGGATATTTTTCCATTTATTTTCAGATAGAGTGGGAGGGAGAGAAAGGGAGAGAGAGAAACATCAATGTGAGAGAGATACATTGACTGGTAGCCTCCTGCACAACCCCGACCAGGGCCGGGGACAAACCGCAACCGAGGTACATGCCCTTGGCTGAATCGAACCTGAGACTCATTGGTTTGCGGGCTGACGCACTACTGCTGAGCCAAACCTGCCAGGGCTATATGCACTTCTTATAGAAAGATGAGACCAGATTTTGTTCAATGAACTACTAAAAACTGAAAATTTGAGATTTCTTTATGTGTTTTACTTAAAAGAGCATTTAGGCCATATTTACCTTCTAAAAATGTCTCCTTTTATAGAACTGTTTACAGGAAGGAGGAGTGTAGGGGATGTCATCCAAAAACTGAGCAGTGCGGAAGTGTGCATGAGTGAAGAGCTTAGCATCCTTGGGACGGTTTCATTTTAAATAGCTGGTGATTAATTAGGTAGAGTGTTAATATTTGAGTATCTTTAAGTGTAAAGGTAAAGTAGGAAAGTTTGTTTTGGGAATTTCCCCCACCATGATCATGTTCATTCTCTCTTTCCATCAAATATCCCATTTAAAGTTTTTGCAGACAATTTTTTTAAAACCCAGTTGAGGTTTTATTATCCATCTTCCTCATTTTTCCCATATTTCTCCTTTTTTTGTTTGTTTGTTTTTTTCTCGTTTCCTCATTTTCTGTGTCTGCCTCTCTCTTATATAACCCCTTTCAGTTCTGCCTCCTGTGGTTAGGGGCAAAGAAAATAACGGGAATGGTATTGTGTTCTTTCAAAGTACAGAAGTGAGTTTAAACCTGGCCTGAATTTCCCTAAGCTTGAAAATACAAATTCATATGCTTCTTTTAGAATAAAAGACAAAAAGTGTAATTTCTAATCTGTAAGCATTTTAACTAACAGTTTAAATGTGTTTTTATGACTGTTGTTTACATTTTTAAACTTATTATTGTAGAAAGTTTTGAACACCTACAGAGGAAGAGAGACTAGTAGAAACACAGAAAACAATATAATGTATCATCCACTTTCAACAATTACATGGCCATTCTTGTTTCATCTCTGGCCCTAGCCAGCCCACTGTAATTTTGAAGCAAATTTTATTCATATATCATTGCATCTATAAATATTTTAGTATCATCTCTAAAAAAGATAAAAGTTCTTAAAAACACATACACATGATATTGTCACATCTGAAACTAAATTAATGATAATGTTTTAATATCAGATAGTATTTATGTGACTGGTTGATAGATCTATTAAGTGTCTTTTAATCTTCCACCTGTCTTATCTTTCCTTTACAGCTTTTTGTTGAAAAGGCAGTGTCATTTGTCTACAGACTTTTCAGTCTGGATTTTGCTGATAGCATGCCCATGGTGTAGAGTGATTAATGCATTCTTCTATTCTTTCTATTTCCTGTCAGTTAATAGTTAGATATACAGTTTCTCTGTGTGGGAGGGTTGGGGAGGGCTCTTACCTGAAGCTTATAATAATAATTATCATTAGCCCGTATTTACTACTTTACTGCTCCAAATTTAAGTTCGTCAAGACCAAGTTGTTCCTTCTCTGGGGATAAATAAATCTGATAAATGTATTAGAATAGCAGTAGGGGGAAGGCTGAAGTAGAGGACGTTGAAAGCAAAATTCATTAGCTTTCTTAGAAAACAATTGTCGATCTGTTTATATAGAGAGAACACAAAGATCACATCTTCCCATGAGGTAATAAATGGTGAGTAACATGCATTCATAACTTATATACCAGATTCTAGTCTAAGCACCTAACATAAATGATTTCCTTTGAGGTCACAAGTGTGTAAGGTAAGTGCTAAAATTATCCCTATTTTTCATGGAAGAAAACTGAGGCACAGAGATGTTATATAACTTATTCAAGGTCACAAAGCTGTTAAATGTTCTCTTGGCTCAAAATAGAATGAATAGACAGCCTGTGGTATTTTATTGGTATAATTTAATATCATTTGATCATGATATATTTAAAAGTATGTGTTACAGTAGATTTTCTTGCAAATCAGATTTTATTTTGGTGCATGCATAACTAGAAGATTTATGAAATTAAGTTCATATAATGTTATTTTTTAAAATTCTAGTTAAAGAAACAGTTTCCTGCTATGGCCCTGAAGATTCCTGCCAAGCGAATATTTGGTGATAATTTTGATCCCGGTAAGCAGTAACTTCATAGAGCAGCTATATGCGATGGTGGAAGTTTGAAGACGTAGTTAACACGTTCATTATACTGTATAGTAATATAAGAATTTACAAAGCTAATTGGTCTCATGCTCTGTGAAAATAATGCCTCAGTAAGGTGCTTACTGTGTACCAGGCATTGTTTTGAACACATTACATGTTGTAATTCATTCAGTCCTCACAACAACCCTTTGAGTTGGGTATTGTTATTATCATCACTATTTTTTAGGTAAGGAAACTGAGGCACAGTTAGGGTCACATACAGCTAATAAACAAATTTGGAAGTTAAATTTAAGCATTCTGGCTTCAGGTAAATTTATTGATCATTAAGGACTATTTGGGGTACTTGATTAACCACGAAGGGCATTCTTTGTTACTTTGAGAAACATTTATTAAAAGTATTCTCTGGCCCTGGCCAGGTTGGCTCAGCAGTTAGAGAGTTCTGGCCTGTGCACCAAAGAGTCCCGGGTTCGGTTCCCACTAAGGGCACGTACCTCGGTTGCAGTTTGTCCCCGGCCCTGATTGGGGTTGTGTGGGTGGCAACCACTTAATGTGTCTCTCTCACGTCGATGTTTCTCTCCTTCTGTCCCCTCCCCCCCCTCTCCTGCTCTATATGAAAATAAATGCAAAAAATGTCCTCGGGTAACGATAAAAAATAAAAAATATTAAAAGTATACTCTGGCCTGGCCAGTGTGGTTCAGTGAATTGAATGTCGTCCCATGGACTGAGAGGACCTGGTTTGATTCCCAGTCAGGGCACATGCCCGGGTTATGGGCTTGATCCCCAGTGGGGGTGTATGCAGAAGGCAGCTGATCAATATTTCTCTCTCACATCGATGTTTCTGTCTCTCTCTCTCTCTAAAAAATCAATAAAAAACATATTTTAAAAAAAGCATACTGTGTACATAGCACCCTGCAAGCCTCTGAATGGTATACCAAGAAAATGTCATGTTGGTCACCCTTGGGGAGCATAATGCCACAAAGGATCTCAGGAATCTGGAGCCTCAGGCCTGGGACTATCACTAGAATCCAGGTCACAAATGGCTACTTACAGAGAGAAAGAAGTCTCCTTATCTACCAGAAATCCTATCAGTCATCTCTTGGAGTAGCCAGTGGATTCTGACAAGCCAGAGTGCCGGCCCTCCATACCATCTCACTTCCTCAGTTAATTTGCTTATATCCCTGTAACCCATGACACCTGTGATTCCTTACCTGTCTAAGGAATACACCCATGATTTGTGGTCAGATCACTCTCCACCAAATACCTTTCAAGATGCTTATTTGGTCTGCCTCTTTCCCATTTCTTTCCCTCCCTAACCTTTTTATTGTGCTGTTTGGAATTCTGCCCACAAACAACAACCTTCTCTTTATCCTTCATCTTTTTCATATTTCTTTCACATTCCTGCTTTAGTTAAAACTTAGTTTTCCCCCTGAGGCTTCAGGATGATCCCTTGTAACCCTCTCAGCTGGAGACTCTTTATTTTACACTTTATGAACCTCAGGATTGGTGAGGATTCTCGCTTCCCCTAGTATTCGTAGAATTTTTATTTGCGTTTGTAACTAGTCATTCACGGGAAACTAGAGCATAGCAAAGCTAAGCCATTCTCCCAGGCCACACAGCTAACATTCGGGTTTGTTGTTTCTCTTATCCCCTATTCTACTGCCTGATTAGTGCATGGCGCCTTTGAAAACAAAACTCACAAACTTTTATGTGCATTTTATTTTAAAATTCCCTGTTTGGAACATTACGAAACTCTTACCCTGTTTTCTGATCTGAGAGGTGTGAGTTAAGGATAAAAGGTCTCTGTAGTCCCTGCAGGCTCTAAATATCCTTTGATTGTGAATATAATCAGGTCACTCTGGCCACCAGAAGAACTGAAATGACAAAGAAATCTTTATAGGTCAGTTTAATACTTATTCTGGAGACAAAAGCTTTCATTTTATTATCTAACCATTAATTTCTTTTGGATCTCTAATGGAAACCTCTTTTGTATAACAACAGATACATTCATATAAATAAATTCTTAATTGGAGAATTTTTAAAAATATATCTCCAACTATAATTATTTTTTTCTTATAATCCTCACCTGAGGATATGTTTTTATTGATTTTAGAGCAAGGAATGGTGGGGGCAGAGAGAGAGAAAGAGAGAAACATCGATGTGAGAGAGAAACATCAATTGGTTGTCTCCTGTATATGCCCTGACTGGGGCTCAAACCCAAAACCTAGGTATGTACCCTGACTGGGAATTGAACCCCCAACCTTTTGGTGCATGAGACGCTCCAAGCAACTGAGCCTCTTGGCCAGGGCTCCAACTATAATTCCTTTTTTTTTTTCCTAATCCTCACCCTAGGACATTTTTGCATTTATTTTCAGACAGAGCAGGAGAGAGAGAGGGAGGAAGAGAGAGAGAGAAAGAGAGAGAAACATTGACATGAGAGACACATCAACTGGTTGCCATGCACATGACCCCAACCTGGGCCGGAGACGAACTGCAACTGAGACATGTGCCCTTAGCAGGAACCAAACCCGGTATTCTCTGGTCTGCTGTTCGATGCTCTAACCCAGCGGCTTTCAACCTGTGGGTCACGACCCCTTTGGGGGTCGAACAACCCTTTCACAGGGGTCGCCTAAGACATAACAGTAGCAAAATTACAGTTATGAAGTAGTATTGAAAATAATTTTATGGTTGGGGGTCACCACAACGTGAGGAACTGTATTAAAGGGTTGCGGCATTAGGAAGGTTGAGAACCACTGGCTAACCACTGAGCCAAATTGGCCAGGGCTTTTTTTTAATCCTTATCCAAGGGTATTTTAACATTTATCTCCAGACAGAGTGGGAGGGAGAGAGAGAGAGAGAGAGACATCGATGTGAGAGAAACACATTGATTGGTTGCCACCCTCAGGACCCCAACCGGGGCCAGGGACGAACTGCAATTGAGGTACATGCCCTTGACTGGAATCGAACCCAGGACTCTTTGGTCCGCGGGCCGATGCTCTAACCACTGAGCAAAACCGGCCAGGACCCAACTTAATTCTTAAAGATAATATGTCAGCCTTAAATTCTTGGAATTTATCCTATAATGGGGCTGATATGCATTTTAGTCTTACCTGGAATTTTTTCAGGAATTTGCATGCTTAATGTTGCTCTGAAAACTAAACTTGGAATTGCTCCTAAATTCTGACTTCTACTGGTCTTCTTTTTTCTTTACTGACTTCTTTTCTTTATCTTCTTTAAGGATTTCCAAACTGTTTTAAGTCTATAATGAAGTGGAGAGTCTAGTAATACTTAGTGCAGCATGGGCTGTAGCTCCCTGAAGAAAACAAATCACTTCCTTTTATCACAACTCCTCTCCCAATGTCAAAAGTACTATCAGTAACTATCCACAGAACAATTTAAAGCTGATTCCAAATAATCATTGGATTTTCTTTAAATACCTCAAATATAGTCATTCATTTTAGTTCTCCCTCCTTTGTTACTAAGTCCAGTTCCTGAAAACAGACTGTCTTTCGAGTGTAGTTTTTAATGTAAACCTCAAATATGCTTTACTGTCTGGTGACATAAAGAATGCCCTTGGAAGAGTTTTCAAGATACCTTCCTGAAATTCTTCAAAAAATTCATAGTTGAACAAGAAAAAGGTACCAAGTATATCTGGATCTAAGAGACCAGATCTAATTTATATTTCTTCTGTTATATTCATAACTTACATTTAAGGAATAGAAATAAACTTATGTGACTGAAAACAGCCCATAATTTGGGTGATAAACACTATACAGTAAAACTTTTGTTGAGTAGAAATTATTTTACTAAACCAAAATTTACTGTTAAGTTGAATGTTGTTTATAGGTTTTTATGGAGACATTCACCATTTTGAGATACTCTCTCAAGTCTCTTGTTTCTTCAATTTTTAGAGTACACAGGTGCTTCTTGACTTATGTTACATCCCAATAAACCCATTGTAAGTTGAAAATGCTATAAGTTAAAAATGCATTGAATACACCTAATCTACCGAACATCATAGCTTAGCCTAGCCTAGACCTTAAAGGTGCTCAGAACATTTACATTAGCCTTCAGTTGCACAAATCATCTTACTGCCCTGGGAAATATTGCACTGTATGTTGCTAGCATCGGGAAAGATAAAAATTCAAAGCGTAGTTTCTACTGATTTCTTAGTGCTTTCACATTATTGTAAAGTTGAAAAATTGTTAAGTCGAACCATTGTATAAGTCAGGAACCCTCTGTGTTTCTTAAGAATTTGGGTTTAAGATGAATTCTTTTTGACACAGCAACAACAAAAATAGTAATAGCTAAAGAGTGTTCTCTTTCTACCAGGCATTCTACTATAAACTTACATGCAGTCACATTGAACCCTGTAACAACATTATGAGTTATAATGTTATTATTCCCACTTTACAAGTAAGGGTTTAAGTCTTAGAAAGCTTCATGGTCAGTTAGCTAATGAGTAGCAGAGACAAGATACTCTAGTTAAGTTTTCTAATTCCAAGAAACCATTGTGCCTCTTATTACTAAACTGCTGTTGCATGAATGTCAATTATCAACAGTCAAAACACTTTGAAGATGCTGGACAATTATTTGTTAGGAAAGTGCTCCACTGTATTTTTTAAGGGTTTTTGTTTGGTTGGTTGGTTTTTTGCAGCAGGAGTTTTTTTAGCATCAGAGTTTTTGTGAAACTCAAGTAACCAATTAATTATTCCCTAGTTGCAAAGGTTTCCAGTACTTTTTAAAAATTATCATAATTTTTTTCATCACCAGTGTCATAGTGTTAATTTTTATTCCTTACTTGATAGTATAGGAGGAGTTGGACAAAGCAGATACCTTGGGGGTTTTTTGTTTTTTAAATTTTTTTGTTCATTGATTTTAGAGAGAGAGGAAGGGAGAGGGAGAGAGATAGAAACATCAATGAGAAAGAACATCCACTGGGGATTTGGCCCACAACGTGGGTATATGCCCTGAGAGGGAATCGAACCAGCGACCTCTTGATGCATGGTTTGATCATCAACCACTGAGCCACACCAGCCGGGCAAGATACCTCCAGTTTTTGTAGTGACTTTGTGTGTGTGTGTGTGTGTATGTATTTTTTTTTTTTTTTTGGAGAATTTTCTTTTGGGAGATTATGTTATCTGCTTTATTTTAGTTTAATCATTGTATTTATGGATTTTTAAGTATATCTCTCCAAGTATTTGCTTTTTATTATATATCAAGAAACATAAGAAATAGCTTCTTAAGAATTCACTCTTATCTATTCTTATATAACTGTATTGATAATTATGTAGTCTGACATAAATAATCCTAATAGCTATGTCTCTCTTAACAGATTTTATCAAACAGAGAAGAGCAGGACTCAATGAATTCATTCAGAACTTAGTTAGGCATCCAGAGCTCTATAACCAGTAAGTAATTTCCACTGTGTTCTGAAGAGGCACTGAAACTAAACCTAAGACTATTGAATAAGTTACTGATACAGATTTTAGATGTTCTGTGGACTGTTATTGTGCTATATATAATGTGAGTGTGTGTGTGTGTGTGTGTGTGTGTGTGTAAGTAAAACCTTCCTCAGACATTTCCCCCTGGTGTTTTTAACTCATTTTTTGACCATCAACTCAAGGTCCTAGTTATTTTCTTTCTTACTTTTATGCTTGTAATGGTTTTGCAGATTAAACTTGAAAGGATTTTGCATGGTACACAGTTAAAATACTTTGCTAATTGTCCGATGTTGTATTTATTCATGCATTCAAACAGCATTTGTAAGTACTTTCTATGTGCATTGGGAACATAAAGAGTGATAAGTGTTATTCTTGTGTTCCAGAGGCATAGGCTTCAGTCTACAGTCGGCCCTCGTTTATCGTGGTTAATCAGTTCCAGACTCTACCATGATAAATTAATTTCCGTGAAGTAGGATTCTTTATTTATAAATCAAATGTTTTCACAGTTAGAACATAGAAAACCTGTTTACGACCTTCTAAATATGTTTGTTAACATTATTAGAGCCCTCTAGACATGAAATGACACCCTTTAGTCACCATTACACTCGTATTACCCAATATATTAGACAAAATAAGACATTAGACTTATAAATATCATATTATTATTATTATTGTACCTTTAATCACACACACACAGTTCTTACACACAACCACTAACCTATGAAAATAGTGCAACTTGTTCAATGATGAAGCGATAAATATGAAGAGATGTACGCACAGCAAAGAAGAGCAAGGTTACTGCTCCTCTGAAGGCACAATCTCAGTAGAAGGGTCTTCAGGTGGTGCAGTATCTTCAGCAGGAGTGTCGTCATCGTCTTCTGCTGGAGGAGTACTAGGAGTAGGCAGTGAGTGTCTGGGTCCTTGGCTGAAGAACACTGTGATAGGCAGTTGCTGGTGCTGTCTTTTCATATGCGTGAGGAGGCTTTTGTAGGGTTCTATTGCTCCATCAAGTGCATTCTGGAACTGCAATGCACACATCATTTGTGGGTCCCATTCGCCAGTCATGTCCTGTACTACCTTAATAGTTCTCACAAGTTGTGAGAGATGCTCAAGTGTAAGGCCAACTTCCTCCTCCTGACCCATAAGAACCTCTGGCTGCTCTTCCTCCTCCTCATTCTCAGACTTAGCCATCTCCACCAGATTCTCGTCAGTTAAGGGATCCAAATGTGTCTCCAGCAGCTCATCCACGTCATCGTGGGTCATATCCACGCAACCTCCTCCCAGCATCCAGGCCAGCCTAACTGCCTTATCCACTGCCGAGTTGCTTATATCCTCTGGGGTGAATCCTCTGTAGTTGTGGACAATTTCAGGCCATGACATCTTCCAGCTGGTCTTCATAGTCTCCGTCTTTAAGTCCTTCAACGCGGCCTGGTTGTTCTTTGGCAGGTCACGATGGTATACTGCTGCCAGTACTCCTTCAGCAAGAAGTTCTTCTCAAGGTCCATGCCTTTGACGAGGTGCTGCAGGGTGTTTCACGTATAGAGGGCCTTGAACGCGCGAATAATGCCTTGATCCATGGGCTGGATCAGCCAAGTGGTGTTGGGAGGAAGGAACTCGATCTGCACACCGTCATAGGATAGGTCTTGCGCATGACCTCCAGCATTGTCCATGAGGAGAAGGACATTAAACTCGATTCCCTTCTCTGAGAGATACAGCTTGACTTGGGGGATGAAGCACTTGTGGAACCAGTCCGATGGCAGCTCCTTCGTGATCCAGCCCTTGTCGTTGTGCATTCAATGCACTGGCAGCAGGTTCTTGTTTTTATTCTTCAGGGCCCTAGGTTCTTGGCCTTGTAGATAAGGGCAGGCTTGAGCAAAAATCCCTCAGCATTTCCACACATAATGATAGTCATGCGATCTTTATACGCCTTGAAGCCACGGACCTTGGCATCGTCCTTGAAAATGAATGTCTGAGAAAGCGTTCTTTTCCAGAACAGTCTTGTTTCATCCATATTGAACACTTGTTCTGGATGATACTCGCCTTCCTCAAGGATCTTCTGGAACGTGTTGTTCACATAGTCCTCTGCTGCAGGCTGGTCAGCAGAGGCAGCTTTTCCGTGGAGAACAACACTCTTCAGATGATACCTCTTCTGGAACTTCTCAAACCAATTCTTACTCGCTGTGAAATTCATGAACGTTGCAGAAGAGGGTCCTGGTTGAGGTTTGTCCACCGTAAAGGGTTGATAGAGCTGCCTCGCCATCTCCCAGATGACCAGTGAATCCAACAGAATGTTTTTCTTACAGCTGTTGCTGATCCAGACGGCTAGGGAAGACTTCATTTTCACTGGGAACTTATTACGACTTGTCACAATGCGCTTTGCTTCCTTGTTGAAAGAGACAGTAGCTGTTGCACGGATGTTCTTTTCATCTTTACAGATGGAGCGAGAACGGTAGACTCATTCAAGTGGTAATAGCAGGCAACCTCCATGATTTTCTTGCCATCTTTGATCATATCCAAGATTTTCACCTTCCTCTGGATGGTAAGCATCTTCCTCCGGTGCTTAGTTTCATCGTCAGAAGGCTTAAAAGAAGCAGCATGTTTAGGTGCCATCATGGGGCTTAGATAAAAGTTCTCAGAAATCCCAAACACAAGAGCTAAGATGCTTTCGATGCGTAGCAATGTGGAAGCATGTATGAGAGAAACGACCTTGCATGAGGCTGAGCCAATCAGTGGCCAGGATAGGAAGAGGATAGGATAGCCAATCAGTGAACAGCACACTCTGATTGGCTTGGTTTCACCACACTTGATTTTTTGGAAAAAAGTTATTGCCCACACACAAGGAGTGGTCTAGTCGTTGCACCTGGCGTTGAAGGATTGGTGGGGTGCTCGAATACATAGGCCTACAGTCCATATGTACAGTAATTTTAATTTTAATTTTGTGTATGATTGACTCAGACAAGCAAGTGCGCTGTATCATTTACACTGTCTTAATCAACTTTTTAATAAATATATTTGAAAAAACCTTGATAGAGTGAAGCCGTGAAAGTCGAAGTGCGAAGTGGTGAGGGACGACTGTAGTGGGAGAAACGGATATATCAACAAGCAATTAAAGCTAGGAACGTTTTATGACATAGGTGCTAGAAGATAACAGAAAAATATGGCCAGCTCTTTGGGATGTCAAAGAAGGGTTCCTGGGACTTAAAGGAAGTACAGTCATTCAAGAAAAAGACACAGGGAGAGCATTCCAGGCAAAGGGAGCAGTACCTGGAAGAGTCTCCAAAAAGCCTGAAATGTTCAGGACACTTAAGTATGGCTGGAACACAGAATAGAACACTCAAGTATCTTCAGAAAGCAGATAAGGCCTTTGAAGGAGTTGGCAAGGGTCAGGCCCACTTGCCACCACTCTTGTTTTCTTCCAAGAGAGGCCTCCAGTCCTTCTCCGCACAGCACTCCAGGCAGCCTCTTATGGAAGGTGCTTCCGCAGCCAGTGTGTGTCTTGTGCTAATGAATTTAAACTCCTTCAATAGAATAGCAGCTGCTGATGAAGGAAGAAAAGGTGTGGCCTGTCTGAAATACCCGGGTTCAAGATACATTTTCTTTTGTTTTTCCTCACCTGAGGACATTTTTTGCATTTATCTTCAGATAGAGCAGGAGGGAGAAAGGAAGGAAGAAAGAGAGAGAAACATCGACGTGAGAGAGACACATCGAGTGGTTGCCACCCACACAACCCTAACCAAGGCCAGGGACAAATTGCAACCGAGGTACATGCCCTTAGCGGGAACCGAACCCAGGACTATCTGGTCCGCAGGCTGACGCTCTAACCGCTGAGCCAAACCGGCCAGGGCTTTTTTTTCTTTATTGATTTTAGAGAGAGAGGAAGGGAGAGGGAGAAAGAGATGGAAACATCGATGAGAGAGAACATCGATTGGCTGCCTCCTGCATGCCCCTCACTGGGGATTTGGCCCACAACCTGAGCATGTGCCCTGTTCAGGAATCGAACCAGCGACCTCTTGGTGCATGGGTTGACATTCAACCACTGAGCCATACTGGCTGAGCTCTTTTTATTTGTTTTGTTAATCCTTACCTGAGGATATATTTTTTTCTGTTGATTTTTAAAGAGGGTGAAAGGGAGGGGTACGGAGAGAGAGGAACATTGATGTGAGAGAGACACATCAATTGGTTGCCTCCTGCATATTCCCTAACCAGGGCCAAGGACTGAACCTGCAACCCAAGTATGTGCCCTTGACGGGGAATCAAACCCAGGTCTCTTTGGTGTATGGGCCAGCGCTGTAACCACTGAGCTACACTGGCCAGGGCAAGATACACTTTCATTTTGGAGTCTGGAAATTGCTCGTGGGTATTCATTATGTTTATTATGATTTTTAATTTACATTTGTTACTTATATTGTTTTGTATGTGTAAAGTATTATATTCTAAGAAATAAAGTAAAATATCTGGGGAGCTTTTTTATAGCTCACCTCTCTGTGTAGGTATTAGTAAGGGTTGCATTATGGACAGTGATGCAGACGTGACACTAACAGTCTTCAGATCACAGCACTGAAGTACTATATTTTTAGCAATTGTTCTAAGAACAATGCTTTTTACTATAGTTCCTTACATTACCATTTATATAGTTCTTTACCATTTACAGTAGGCTCCTACCATTCTGAGCAGGTCCTCTGATTTATTTTTAGTTAGAGTGGAAGTGAGGGAGGGAGAGAAAAAGAGAGAGAGAAACATCGATGTGAGAGAGACACATCAGTTGGTTGCCTCCCATATGACCCAGACCAGGGACGATCCGCAACCAAGGTATGTGCCCTTGGCTGGAATTGAACCCGCAACTGTTGGTCATAGACTGATGCTCTAACCGCTGTGCCAAACCAGCCAGGGCTGTATAATTATTTTTTAAAACATTGTGCCCTTTTCCTAGGACAAATTCTATTATGTTCAGCTTAGATCTAACCTTTAATTTTTGCTGTATGCACTTGAGATTACTTTGAATTGGCAGATTGTTGGCTTGTTTGAAATGTATTTCATACATTGAGATCTTGAATTTGCTCCCTCTTTTGACAGAGATCCTAATGTGGACTAAGTGTGGAATAAATGGTGGTGGTGGTGATTATTTCTTCTAATATTGTGAACACTGTTACTCGGAACCTCTAACACTAGATATTAAATTCTATATATTCCATCTGGATCTAGAAGAGTAGTATTATAAAGATGTTGTATTTGGGCCCAGCCAGTATGGCTCAGTGGTTGAGCATTGACCCATGCACCAAGAGGTTGCTGGTTTCATTCCTGGTCAGGGCACAGCCCAGGTTGTGGGCCCGATCCCCATTGGGAGACATGCAGGAGGCGGCCAGTTGATGTTCTCTCTCATCGATGTTTCTCTCTCTCTCTCTCTCTCTCTCTCTCTCTCTCTCTCTCTCTCTCCCTTCCTTTCTCTCTAAAATCAATAAAGAAAAAAAATTTTTTTAAGGTGTTATATTTGGTATTAAAATTCAACTAAAAGCAATTTGATTGTTTTCATTTTAACATTATTTTATACAATACACAGTTCTTAAGTATACAACCCAATGGATTTTTACATACATGTGCACCCTGTAACTACCATCATTCCATTTAGGGTATAGGACCTTTCCAGCACCCCAAAAATAAATAGTTGCAAGTCTTTTTTAACTTAGTTTTAACTGACATTTTCTTTTTAATAAAGAGCAACAATTTGTGTTTTCTGGATCTTATCTATTAATGGAACTTTTTTAATTTTCACATTCTTAATTTGAGCATCAAACTATCTATAAAATAGTACAGATTTAAGAGAGCAAACAGAAGGCACTCAGCAAGGCCATCTTGAACACCTACTATGAGGCTATTACTACTCTGTTAGGGAAATGAACTTTAGAAACTGCTTTACTTCATTTTTTTTTTCTTTATTGATTTTAGAGAGAGAGGAAGGGAGAGGGAGAGAGAGAGAAACATTGATCGACCCCCACCACTGGGGATTTGGCCCACAACCTGGGCATGTGCCCTGACTAGGAATCAAGCCAGCGACCTCTTAGTGCATGGGTCGACGCTCAACCACTGAGTCACATCGGCCGGCCCTTTACTTCAATTTTTAAAACAACTTTATTAAAAAACTGGAATAAGATGTTAGTATTTCTCTGATCTCTGAGTTAAAAAAAGGGTTTTCTGAGCATATAGGCAGAGCTTGATGTGTTACAAAGTAAAAATGACAAATTTGACTAATAAAAACAGTTGAACCCCCCCCCAAATCACAAGTAAAATTAAAAACCAAAAATATAGAAAAAGTTTCCCATGATAAAGGACAATAGATAAATATACTTAATATGGAAAGAGCTCATGCAAATAATTAATGTTTAAGACACCAAAAGGAAAATGGACAAAGCCCATTAATTTACATAAGAGGAGCTACAAATGGCTGATTAATTACCCTCAAATAACTGAACATTTCCTTTCCTATTTAAGAAATGCAATGGAAGCAAAAATTATTTTAGATTTATTGTAGTATAGTATCTGCAGAAACGAGCACAAATCATGATTATACAACTTAATAAATTATGTGAAAGTCAAGACATCTGAGTTGCCACCTCCCAGGCCAAGCAATAGAATGTTACCAGAACCCCTGCAGCCCCTCACATATCTCCTCTCCATCTCTGTTCTTTCCTTCATCCCGAAGGTGATTATACCCCTGATTTGTTTTTAGCGGCATAGATTAATGTGCCCTGTTTTCGAACTTTGTACAAATGGAATCATACAGTACATATTCTTTATCTGGCTTATTTTCAATAATATGAGAATCGCTATGTTGTCACATATGGCTGTAGTTTGTTTATTTCCATAGCTGTATATATCCCATTGTGTGAATAGGCCACAATTTATCCATTCTACTGCTGATGGACATGTGAGTTGTTTCTGTTTTCTGGCTTTAATGAATAATGTTGTCATTAACATATCCTTGGGTGCACACGTGCAAGCCTTTCTTATGTATCTTGGGGTAGAAATTCTGGGTTGTAGGGTATGGACAGGGTGGAGCAAAAGTAGCTTTACAGCTGTTCATATAGAAAACAATAAAATAAATAACAGTACAAGAATAAACTATATGTTTTGCCCACTCACAACTATAAACCTACTTTTGCCTTACTCTGTTTTAAACTTTCTAAGAGTAGATCTTAAAGGTTCTCATCACAAGAAAAAAAGTGTAACTGTGCATGGTGATGGATATTAACTAGACTTATTGTGACCATTTCACAATACATAAAAGTATCAATTAAATCTCAAGAAGAAAAAAAGAACAATGTGGTAGGAGGTACCTTGGATAAAGAGATTTAATCATTGCTCAGGGCTGTCATTAGTCCACACAAGGCCCCTCTTTTATTTTAGTCCATTTTTTTCTCTTATCTTTGATCTTCAGTCCCAATTCTTTATTCCCATTATTGACAACCATTTTAATCTGTTTGTCATATGTCTTTGGATATCCATGTATTGACTGTTGCTTTGTGTCCGTGAATATTTGATATATACACATAGATGGTACTGTGCTATATAGTTCCTTGCTTCTGCCTGCTGTAGTCAGTTACCATGCTTGCTTATTCATTTCTCTAGTGGTAGATGGCTGTTTTGCGTTGGATTCAGCACTGTAAGGAATGTTGCAATAAGTATCCTAGTTACATGCCTTTCACTGAACGTGTGCATGATTTATTCCTAGAACTGGAATTTCTGGGTCAGGGAAATGCATATATAGTTTCACTAAGTACTGCCAGATTGCTTTTCAGAAAAGTTGTTTCATTTTTCATTCTTACCAGTAGTATATGAGGGTGTCTCTTTCCCTATAAGCCTACCAACTTTTGAAAGTATCTATCTTTCTAATTTTTGCCATTTAATGGACATAAAGTGATATTTCATTATTTAATTTGTATTTCTTGGATTATTTGTTAAATTAGGCATCTTGATAAATTTTCTTATCATTGGGGTTTTCCCTTCTATGAACTGCCTGTTTATGCCTTTGCCCATGTTGGAGTCTCTAATTAAAAAAAATTAATTTGCTTATACCTTTTATAATAATGAATATTGATGGATTTTTGTTTGGCTTTCTTACTGTAAATGCTATTATAATTATTTTTATTTTCATTTTAAAAGGGAGAAAAGCTGTAGAAATATTTTCAAAGTCCTAATAAAGCTAATTTTTGTTTTTAGTCCAGATGTCAGAGCATTCCTTCAAATGGACAGTCCAAAACATCAGTCAGATCCATCTGAAGATGAGGATGAAAGAAGTACTGAGAAGGTAGTAAGAGGGATTGTATTTTTTAACAGAAAAAATACTATTCCTCAAAGATGAAATTATTGGCAACTTTAGGACATTTAGTTAAAATTAAGTATTTTTATCCATTGTAAATTTTCTATTCTGTAGAATACATAAAAACAAATGTGTATACCTCTTACCGATCACTGTTATAAAATTTGTAAATGAGTACTTTTTACACTAAAAAGAAATACATGCTAATTAAACAAAGTTTTGAAAATAATAAGAAGGAAAAGTATTACCCATATTATTACCAACCAGAGTAATCACTAGTGATTTTTAAAATTTTAGTGATTTTCTTTCTAATCTTAACATATAGGAATTTTTTATTGATTTTAAAATATATTTTTATTGATTTTTAAAAAGAGAGGAAGGGAGAGAGAGAGAGAGAAACATTGATGAAAGAGAAACAGTAATTTAATGCAAAGGATTATTAGGTAGCAATTCAAATTATAATTATAAATGTTATAAATGTAATACCTTTATAATTCAAATTTGATCATTAAATATTTGTTAAATATATACCTGAAAATCAGAGGCGTTGGGTTGAAGGGCATTTTTGTTTTCATAATGTCTTTAAATTATGTCATGGTTCTGTTTTTGTTTTTTTTTTATCCTCACCCGAGGATATTTTTTCCATTTTTTGTACAGATAGAGTGGGAGGGAGAGAGAGAAAGGGAGAGAGAAAGAGAAACATCGACGTGAAGGGACACATCGAGTGGCTGCCACCCGCACGACCAACCAGGGCCGGGGACAAACTGCAACCGAAGTACGTGCCCCTAGCGGGAACCGAACCCGGGTCTCTCCGGACCGCAAGCCGACGCTCTAACCGCTGAGCCAAACTGGCCAGGGCTGTTTTTTTATTTTAAAATATAATATTATGAGTTGGAACATTACTGTCTCACAGCTAAAATCTTTGTTTGATAATAGATGTATTTCTTTTTGGGGACTGCTGGAAAGAAGTAATGTTTCTCTGATGCCCAAAGGGGATTCTCAGTTAAGAAAACAGGTTTACTTTTTCATCTGTGACATGGTTGTTCCTAGGATAATGTAAAAGAATTTTTATTTTATACTTATAGTTAATCAAAAGAAAAACTGGAAAACATTTGTAACAACTAAGGTATAAGAAGGAATAGCATCTATATAAAAAGCTCATACAAATGGATATTTTAAAAGAATGATATTTAAGACCCGAGTAGATAAAAGAAAAAGGGACATGAAGAAGTACTTTTTGTAAATAAGTGTATGGGAAAATGTTCAACCTTGATACCAATAGTAAAGGAAATTTTTAAATGAGAGATTTTTTTCCTCTACTAAGTTAACAAAAATATAAATTAAATAAAATACTGCAGGACTAAGAAGGTAAGGTACAGTGGGCACCCTTGGGCATTAGTAGTGTCATTATAATTTTATGCAACTCTTTTGAAAAGTAATTAGACAATGCGTATCAGACATGAAAATATTCATATCACTTGGGAGTTGAGGCAAATGAAATAATTATATGGAAAAAAAGATGTTCATTTTAGTATCCTTTATAATGAAAAATTAGAATCATGTTAAACATTCATCTATAGATAGCATGCCTGAACACAGTGTACATTTAAAAATATTTTTGAAGATGATATATTTTAAGTTTTGACATACTGATAAATGAAATCAGGGTATAACATTTTATATGCATATTCACACAGTGTGATTACAGCCAGTTTTTAAAAGTTATGCAAAGACTACAGTAGATGAAATTACTAATAAATACTTGCAAAATTATCTGTTGGAAGAGTTATGGATTTAAAAAAATAGTCTTCTTCCTAGTGCTTTCCATATTTTCCAACTATGAGTGTATATTTTTGATTGAAAAGATGAAACTGTTCAAAAATACTTTAAAGGACAAAAATCTATGTAATCATGGATTTCCTTGCTAATCATGTTGAGAGTATATATGTAGGTTGAGGTCGTTTAGAGAATGTCTTACCTTGCTGTAAGAGACTGCTGGTCTTGAAAGAACCAAAGTGAGCCCTGGATGGTGTGGCTCAGTTGGTTAGGCATTGTCCTGTGCACCAAAAGTTTGCTGGTTTGATTCCTGGTCAGGGCACATGCACACGGTTGGTAGGGGGTGTGCAGGAGGCAGATGATCAGTGTTTAGCTCTCACATTTATGTTTCTCTCTCCCTCTCCTTTCCTCTCTCTCTCTTTTTTTGTTTATCCTCACCCAAGGACATTTTTTGATATTTTGTTCAGATAGAGTGGGAGAGAGAGAAAGAGAAACATCGATGTGAAAGGGACACATTGAGTGGTTGCCACCCACACAACCCAACCAGGGCCGGGTACAAACTGCAACCGAGGTACATGCCCTTAGCGGGAACCGAACCTGGGTCTCTCCAGACCGCAGGCCAACGCTCTAACCGCTGAGCCAAACCGACCAGGGCTCCTCTCTCTCTTCAAAAACAAAAACAAGAACAAAACAAAGAACCAGACTGAAAGAGATTCCTGGTTCCTGTTCTGTCACTATTGGCTTTAGATAAGAATTTTGTTCCTTTTTTTTTCCCATCCATAAAATCTGAAATGCAATCTATGATATCTTATGGTTTTAAAATACTGATAGAAAGAATTTCTTCAAAAAAAGGGGAAAGAACTATACTTTGTCTTATATTTGTAACTATTTATTAAGGACTTTTAAGTCAATAACTAAATGAAGTTAACAGCCAGATAATATCTTAGAAGGCATATGGATCTACCCCTTGTTTATAGAGAGAAAAATAGACGTCAAAAGAAGTCAAAAAACTTATGTTCTTTTTTTTTTGTTCAGATAGCGTGGAAGGGAAAGAGAGGAAGAGAGAGACAAACATCGATGTGAAAGGGACACATCGAGTGGCTGCCACCCACACGACCCAACCAGGGCTGGGGATAAACTGCAACGGAGTTACATTCCCTTAGCGGGAACTAAACCCGGGTCTCCCTGGACCGAAGGCCAACCCTCTAACCGCTGAGCCAAACCGACCAGGGCGAAACTTATGTTCTTGATTAGTGTTCACTCTTTTAATAAATTATATCTCACTCTCAGTTTAGTGATTAGAATTAATCTTTAAAAATATTAAGTAGTTCTCAGCCAGCGTGGCTCAGTGGATTGAGCATCGTCCATGTTCAATTCCTGGTCAGGACACATGCCTGGGTTTTGGGCTCGATCCCCAGTAGGGGGCGTGGAAAAGGCAGCTGATCGATGATTTTTTTCTCACATTGATGTTTCTGTCTCTCTCCAAAATGAAGAAAATTAAAAAAAAAAAAAAGTAAATAGCTTTGTGGGTTGCTGGGGGCATGGAGGGATTGAGAAAAACAAACAACATAAAACAAAGATCTCACTGAAATGGATAACAGTGTGGTGATTGCAGAAGGGAGGGGGAGTGGGTGGAGGTGGAGGAGGGTATGGGGGAGATAAATGGTGATGGGGCAAAAAATTAAGAAAATAAATAAGCAAATAAAAGTAGTAGGTAGAGTCCAGCCAGTATGGCTCAGTGGATTGAGCATCGTCCAATGGACTGAGAGGTCCTGGTTCGACAGAGATCCTGGTTCAATTCCTGATCAGGGCACATGCCTGGGTTGCAGGCTCAATCCCCAGTAAGGGGCTTGCAGGAGGCAGAGATGTGGGAGAGATACATTGATTGACTGCCTCCTGCACGTTCCTGCTAGGGATTGAGCCTGCAACCTGGGCATGTGCCCTGACTGGGAATTCAACCAGGACTTCTCAGTCCGTGGGCCGATGCTCAATCCACTGAGCCACACCAGCTGGGCTGTTTGTGTTATTTTTTAATCCATGCTTATTGAATTTGCTTCCCTCATCTATATAAGGAAAATCTGTTGAATGGAAACATGATCCAGTTCTCTGCACATTCATTAAAAGAATAAGTGTATTGAAATTACAATTTAGTTTGGATTATGTTATCATATTCTATGGAACACTTTAACATTTAAACATAATCACAATATATTAAGTCAAATTATTATGATATACACCTTGAACTAAATGTATACAGTGCTGTTTGTCAACTATATCTCAATAAAACTACGGGGAAAAGATTATATTACAATTATGCCACAATAGGGCAATTCTCACTTAATGAACCATTTTTTTTGGCTTGTGCTAGATTGTTATGGTCTTTACATTTCTGTGTTCTAGGATTAAAAATGTATTACAGAAAGATTTTTTTATGTAAAGGTATTGTTAGAAAATTAATTTGATTTGTATCTAAAAACTGGTGCCAGGCCCTGGCCGGTTTGGCTCAGTGGTTAGAGCGTCAGCCTGCGGTCCAGAGAGACCCGGGTTCGGTTCCCACTAAGGGCACGTACCTCAGTTACAGTTTGTCCCCGGCCCTGGTTGGTCGTGCGGGTGGCAGCCACTTGATGTGTCCCTTTCACATCGATGTTTCTCTCTCTCTCTCTTCCTCTCTCTCCTTCCCACTCTATCTGAACAAAAAATGGAAAATAAATGTCTTTGGGTGAGGATAAAAAAAAACAACTGGTGCCAGTGTTGTTGTTTAATAAGAAACGTATTATTATACATCAGAATTTTTGTCCTTTATTTTTAAAAATAGCTTGTATTCTGAATATTGTAAGTTGATATATGATATTTGTCTCTAACATGAAATTACTTAACTTAAAGAGGTTTTTAAAAGCTTATTTTATATTTATAGCTTATATGAAGAACAATTATATAAGGCTCTAGTAATAGCATCCATCTTTATTGGAAAATTTGAAAAACAAAAGCCATTTTAACTGTTTTTGTTTTTTATCCTCTCCCAAGGACATTTTTGCATTTACCTTCAGATAGAGCAGGAGGGAGAGGGGGAGGAAAAGAGAGAGAGAAACATCAATGTGAGAGAGACACATTGACTGGCTGCCACCCACACGACCCCATCCGGGTCTGAGGACACGCTGCAACCAAGGTATGTGCCCTTAGTGGGAACCAAACCCGGGTCTCTCTAGACCGCGGGCCGATTCTCCAACCACTGAGCAAAACTGGCCAGGGCTTTACCAGGTTTTTAAATGTAAAAATTATCCCTCTTAAATTGTGGCTTCAGTGCCCACTTCTTCCAGGGAGCTTTCCCCAGGTTACTTCATTAAGTTGCTACTTTGAGCTTGATTTCTGCCTTATCCTTTTCCTTACAGTTGCTCTTGAAATTTATCATAAAAATGATTATGAATGTTTCCAAATAAGTCTGTACGTTTATTAAGAATTAGGACTTTGCCCTGGCCGGTTTGGCTCAGCGGTTAGAGCGTCGGCCTGCGGTCCAGAGAGACCTGGGTTCGGTTCCCGCTAAGGGCACGTACCTCGGTTGCAGTTTGTCCCCGGCCCTGGTTGGTCGTGCGGGTGGCAGCCACTCGATGTGTCCCTTTCACGTCCATGTTTCTCTCTTTCTCTCTCTTCCTCTCTCTCCCTCCCACTCTATCTGAACAAAAATGTCCTCGGGTGAGGATAAAAAAAAAAAAAGAATTAATTAGGACTTTGGGTTTCTTTAACGTGGCACTACATCAAAGATCTGGTGCAGCTATGTATATTTTATTTGAAAAACATTTATTGAAGCTCCAAAATGGACACTCATGTTTTTTCCCCCCTTCAACAGCTACACTCTACCTCACAGAACATCAACCTGGGACCTTCTGGAAATCCTCAGTAGGTTTGATTTGTTTCAAACAATTCTTTACATTTTAGGAGGATCTTTTTTTGTTTTTTTTTAATTTGTGAATGTGCAGATGATAATTTTACTAGTTTAACTGGCGGCCTATGAGACATAACCATAGTTACAGGGAATGTAATACTGTCCTATGCTTGCCTAACGGACTGCTCTAGCTTTGCACTGCTTTGTGGAGCTCAGGCCTTTCTAATCCACATGTCGCTGATCAGGTTCTGCTGTTTTACTTTTGTCACTTCTCTCTCTCTCTCTCTCTCTCTCTCTCTCTCTCTCTCTCTCTGTGTGTGTGTGTGTGTGTGTGTGTAACCAGTAGACTATCCCACGGGCCCGCAAGTCCTGGGAGGCACTTGGGACGTGGTCTGACAGAAGCTTCTGTGCAGGCCTAATTGATCTTCTCCTGGTGCTCATTGTCATTGTGCAGCCCTGGTGGTTAGCCAGCTTTTCCCAGGGTACTCACAATGTGCATTAGCTCATTAAAGAAAGGCTGCTAAACTTTTTTTTATGCCGTTTCTCCCATAGTCCCATATTTAATTGACCCTTGGGGGAACATTTTGAGGAACACCAGGAGTGGTCAGTATAGACTTTATCATGAGTATCATCCCTAGGAATTTATTGGAAGAGAATGCCTGGAACACTGAATGCAAAGGTTTCTTGGCTCAGTTTGAGAAGTACCCTGACCAGATGAGTAATATCTGCCTGGGTTAGAGAAGGAGTGTTGCTATCCTTACTTATAATTATTTTTTACAGCCGTATTGGACTAATTCTAAAGTATTCTATCTTTTATCCCAGGATACTACGCTTCCCTCACCCTTTTGGTCCACTTAAACAGTGAGTATAGACAGATAAGAGACACAGCCCAAGGATTGGGTCAGAGGACACTTCAGCATTATAGTAAGGTCGGAGAGGAACCAGTAAAGGACCCTAAAGAACTGGTCGATAGTAAGATAGGAGGAAAACAAGGAATGTAGTGTCTCACAATCAAGTGAAGAAAGTTCTCAAGGAAGGAGTAATGAACACTGTTAATATTGCCAATAGGGCAGGTAAGGTAGAGATTGAGATTCGACCACTGGCTTTGATAAGTCACTGATGACCATTACAGGCAGTTCCAATGGTGTGGTGGGTACAAAGACCCTGATAGGAAAGGGTTCAAGACAGAACTAGAAGACAGAACAACAGTTTAGACCACGAGTTTAGACCGCTTACTTCAGTTTTGCTGCAAAGGAAAGCACAGAAATTGGATGGTAACTGGACGAGGAAGTTTGGTTTTGAGCATTTTTTTTCTGTCATCATAGCATGGAGTTGGTCAGGCAGCACAAACACAGAAATTTGCTTTCCGTTAGAGTTTATCACCAGCAGTTAACAGTGGGGCCTCAGTGTGTTACCATGAGGGATTAGCATTTTTTTTTTTCACTATTATATTTGTTTAAAAAATTACTTCAGTATCTCAGCATATCATTAGAGAACAAAATAACTAGTCCAAAGAGCACATTCTTGAAGAAGGAAAACATCTAACCTTAGTTAAGTATTTATCTCCCTAACCTTCACCTGTTATTATTTAATCTAGACTTAAGGAAATTTAGAATCTAAGTGGAGTCATTCCTTCTTCTTAGTGCAAGTTGGGGATTCAGACTGTGTTGAATGAAACAGCTCTTCTGGCTGCTTACTCTCAACTTTCTGCCTCCCTGTGCTTTTGCCTACATACAGCCAATGCTGTTTCCACCTGACAGGATAATAGGAAGAAAAGGATAATCTTAGTATTCCCTCTGGCTTCTCGACTCTTGGCTTTCCTACATTACCATCTTTGAGAATAAGCAGAGAGAGCTTTATCTGTAATGTATAATAAATGATATATATGCAAAACACTGTGATAGCTTTTTTTCCTCCATCAGAAATTTTTCTTAGTGACTGTACTAGGTGTTTCAGCTATTAACTTTCTTTTCAGGAGAATTACCAAACAAGAGAATCCTTGGAATGCATTACTAATTTATATAGTTACTCAGTTTCTTCATTAGCATGGTGAGGTTTATAGTTAATACAAATTGGTATAGATAGAAGCTACACTGAGTTCAAAACTATATATATCATTTTCTTCTGAGGCTATTATTAAAGTTTCTTTTAAGCAGAACTTAGGCTTAAAGTTGCAAAAGATCTAATCAGAAAGTAGATATTATTGTTTATTATTACCTTTTTTATATTAATAGTGTGAAAGTTGAAGTGTTTTGTACCCAGCACTAACTTATTAAAGAGTGTACTGAGAAATGTTTAAAAGTTAACTTTGCCCATTTTCTAGGAGGCTAATTCTTGTTCATTTATTTCAGTGCTAAACCAATAGACTTTGATTTCTTAAAAGTTATCGGAAAAGGCAGCTTTGGCAAGGTAAGTGTTTTTATTTTCTCACTCAGTAAATAAGTACTTACGAAATGCATACTTTATACATGCCAGGCCACAAAGCTTGTTGGTATGCAGGATATGGAGTTAAGATCCTTTTGCTACCTTCAAAGTACTGACAGAATAATTACAGAGATAAGGCATCTACCTAAATTCTAACATAAAATTCATTTGTGGGGCACCTACTACGTGCCAAGCACCGTTCTGGGCCCCGTTTAGATAATACTGAACAAAACTGACATGGTTACTGCCTTTGTGATACTTACAGCCTGGTGAGGAAATAGTCAATTAAAAATATGCAGTCAGATAAATAATTGTAAGTAGAAATGGGGCTATGAAGAAATGGGGGAATAAGGTGAAGTGACAGAAAACTGTGGGCAGTCAGGGGGAAATCCCTTAGACGAATGGGTCAGTGCTTGCTACTTTGAAGAAGCGCTGTTTAAGCTGAGGAGAAAGACAACAATGAGTATCTGTGTAAATAACAGTTGGGGGAAGAAGGGGCTCTGCAAAGACCCTGCTTGTCCTCAGAAGTGAGTGTCAGCTGAGTCACTTAACTTGACAGTGTGGCCATACCAGGGAGGGAGAATCATGTAAGGCCAGATGTGTCATAGATGGTGTTATCAGAATCATCAAATATATTTAAGTGCTTTTTTGCATTCTATTTCATTCTATAGTAAAAAAAAAAAAAAAAAAAAAAAGGAATGAAAGAAAGCAAAGTATGTATTTAATTATAGTTTGATATATCCATAGCTTTCTGTATCTCCGGATTATTTTCTGAGTTCCCTAGATACCAGAAACTGACCATGCAGTTGAACCCATGTGTGTTTATTAATTCAGCAAATATATATTGGCCACCTGCTACATGCTGGGCAATAGAAAGATGAAATAGATCTGTTTTCAAAATGCTCACAGCCCCTTGAGATGTTAGAGATATAATCTGTCATTAATAACAAAAAGCATTATCTTTTGGAAACTTCATGTTTAGATTGAGTCTACCAGGATTTGATTCTTGCATACAGTATGAGGTGTAGGGCCACAGTTGATTTTGTTCCCTGTGGATAGCCAACTGATCCCACATAATGTATTGCAAAGACTGTTCTTTCCCCACTGATCTGCAGGGTTAACCTTCATCATATAGCCAGTACCCATACATGCATGGATCTACTTCTAAATTTAATACTGTGTTTCAGTAGTCTGTTAGTCTGTCCTTATACCAATACTACATTGTCTTAATAAATATAGTCTGATATCCAACAGAATGAGTCCTCCTTGTTTTTCTTCATGAGGCTATTCTAAGCCCCTTGCATATCTATATAAATGTTAGAATTAGCATATCAATTTCCACAAGATTCTGTTGGATTTTGATTGGGATTGCTTTGAATCTGTGGATCAATATTGGGAGAATTGTCATCTTTATATTATTGAGTCTTCCAATCCATGACCATGGTATATCCCTTTTTTAATTTAGTTCCTCTTTAGTTTTTCTCAGTAGTTTTATAGTTTTGTAATGGGCTGGGTTGAATGCTCTTTTAAAAACCGAATTACACACCTTTAGATTTATTCCTATGTGTTGGTGTTTTATGCATGTTGAAACTATTATTTATTGAAGTTGAACCTAAGACACCTTGGTTCTCTTCCTCACTATATATCCAGCAGAAATGCATGCATGTGTGTAGTAGAAAAGACATATGCCAAAATATTCATAGCATCGCTATTCATGAACAATATAAATGATTACATTGTGTATGGCAGCAGTCTACACAGCAATAAAAATGCAAAAACTATACAACATGCCACAATTTGAGTGCATATAAGATAATTTAGAGTGAAAGAAATTAGGCAGAGACCACTTTACATGATTCTAATTAAATAACATTTTTAAATGACAAAAATTACCTGTGTTATTACAAGTTGAGATAATGGTTACCTTTGAGGAAGACAAGGAGGAATAGTTTCTACTATGAGGCAAAAGAGGGGCTTCAGGCTACCCAAAATGTTTTATCTTTTGACCTAGGTAGTGGTTACATAATATGGTCATTTTGTAGTAATTTACTGAACTGTAATGATTTGTGAGTTATTTTACTTATATGTTCCGTTTAATAGAAATTTAAAATCTTACAAAATCATTAGAAACCAACAAAGTACAGTGAAACAAAGAAAAGCAGAATACACAAAAAGAAGGAAAAGCAGACAAATGCAAATTCAGAAGGTGTTTGAAGAATAGAAAAGTATATATGATAAACTTAAATAATGGCAATCTAATATTTATTCTTGTTTTTTCTCTAGTGACTGGTCTTGGTTTTACTTTCCATTTGCACATTTGTTTCTCAGCTATCTGTTCTCCAAATCTGTCAATCTAATAGGGGGGAAAATGCCTCCTTGAAGGAAATAAGTACCTCCTAATTGCCACATTTGAATTATTATCTCAGAATGTACTTGAAGACGAACCATTGAAAATAGAGAAGGAAAAGTCAGGCAGGTGTGCGGTATTGAGAAAAGGAAAAGCGTGAGAAAGATAAAATGTTCACCGGAGTCAAATACAGCAGAGAACAAAAGAATAGGGCATGAGAAATAACCCCAGTTGAACACAGGACATTTTCACTCTGAATATGTTTTGACTCCATCTTTTTGAATAACAAACATTTTTTTCCAAATTAATAGACTATATTTTTTTAGAACGGTTTTAAATTTACAGAAAAATTAAGAGAAAATATAGAAAGTTTTAGAGACTTCTTGACCCATCCCCCAGGCCACACACACAGTTTGCCCTTTTATTAACATCTTATTCCAATTGATAAGCTGATATTGATGCATTATTATTAACTGAAGTTCATCATTTTTTTTTTTTTAATCCTCATCCGAGGATATTTTTCCATTTTTTGTACAGATAGAGTGGGAGGGAGAGAGAGAAAGGGAGAGAGAGAGAGAAACATCGACGTGAAGAGACACATGGAGTGGCTGCCACCCGCACGACCAACCAGGGCCGGGGACAAACTTGCAACCGAAGTACGCGCCCTTAGCGGGAACCGAACCCGGGTCTCTCCGGACCGCAGGCCGACGCTCTAACCGCTGAGCCAAACTGGCCAGGGCTGAAGTTCATTGTTTATTTAGATTTCCTTAGTTTTCTCCTAATGTCCTTTTTCTATTCCAGGATCTCACCTACCACACCACATTACATTTAGTTGTGTGTCTCCTTAAGCTCCTCTTAGTGTGACAGTTTCTCAGACTTTCCTTGCTTTTGAGGACCTTGACGGTTTTGAGAAGTACTGGTTAGGTGTATTGTTAGAGGTTCCTCAGTTGGAAAATGTCTGATATTTTTCTCATGCTTAGACTGGGGTTATAGGTTTTGATGAGAAAGACCACAGGTGCTCTAGAAGGTAAGGCCAGCAACGCCACCAGATGTTGTGTCAGGTCATCTCCCAAATCTTTGAAATGTATCGTTTAATAGTTATACAACTTGTGGGGCATCTTAAATCCCTTACAGTTACTTGCAAAACATTGAGGATATGTCTGCGTTTGTTCTGAGGCAGAATCCTCTTAACTTTCTTCAGCTCTTTGAAAGTGCATGCAGCCCAGCCCATGATAGAAACTCAGCCGTCCACAGTGTGTTTCCCTCTGAACTCTTCTGAATTTGAAACCTCTAAGAGAAACCTGAAGCCTAAAACAAAAATTCATTTTGATCACCTAGAAAACATTTGTTCTTCTCTTTTAGTGTAGCCTTGAAGTTTATAGCCTCCATATTTTCAAAGGACACTCTTCAGGACCCGTGGCTGGTACACACACACACGGGCACAAAGCACAAAGATCTCCAGCAGTATAGATTTTGGTACTTAAATTTAGTAAAAATCTCAAGCATCAACACATGAAGAAATGGTGCCTGCCTATTCAAATGATCAACATCCTTTTCTGTTTTATTAAAATCTTAAGGAAAAATGTACTTAGAGAAATAAATTTAGTAGTTTTCAATTTTCAAAACAAAAATGTATCATCAGGGTCTTTCATGGACTTTGTTTTTATAAAATTTAAGTATTGACTTTATTGACAAGCGAATTATTCCTATTACAATATTGAAATTTCTAATAGTATGCACAATCTTGAATCACAACAGGTTCTTCTTGCAAAGCGGAAACTGGATGGAAAATTTTATGCTGTCAAAGTGTTACAGAAAAAAATCGTTCTCAACAGAAGAGAGGTGAAATAAAAGAGCTTTGTTTCTCCTAAGCCCCTTTACTCAATTAACAGAACTGTTTTGTTTTGGTTGTTTAATACAAGTTGATCCTTTACCTTTTTTTTTTTTTTTTAACAGCAAAAACATATTATGGCTGAACGTAATGTGCTCTTGAAAAATGTGAAACATCCATTTTTGGTTGGATTGCATTATTCTTTCCAAACAACTGAAAAGCTTTATTTTGTTCTGGATTTTGTCAATGGAGGGGAGGTGAGTTTTATAACTAGTTTTCTAATATTGATACTATTTAGAAAAAAATAGAATAAAGTCAAAGTTTTTCTTTCCTTACATGTTTTTGGAAGGGTAATCCAGCATCAACAGCTGTTTTTTGAGTAGCTGGCTGATAAGCACAATGCAAGATATGGAGAAGTGTATGTCATAAAGCTCTTCTTAAATCAGTGTATGGTATAGGTGAGAAGGTTCATTAAAAGAACCTTAGTATGAAGCTACAGACTTCATGGATAGTTTTTTTTTGTTTTTTTTGTTTGTTTGTTTTTTTATCCTCACCCGAGGATATTTTTCCATTTTTTGTACAGATAGAGTGGGAGGGAGAGAGAGGAAGGGAGAGAGAGAGAGAGAAACATCGACGTGAAGGGACACATCGAGTGGCTGCCACCCGCACGACCAACCAGGGCCGGGGACAAACTGCAACCGAAGTACGTGCCCTTAGCGGGAACCGAACCCGGGTCTCTCCGGACCGCAGGCCGACACTTTAACCGCTGAGCCAAACTGGCCAGGGCCATGGATAGTTTTTTTTTTTTGTTCAGGTAGAGTGGGAGGGAGAGAGAGGAACAGAGAGAGAGAGAAACATCGACGTGAAGGGACACATCGAATGGTTGCCACCCGCACAACCGACCAGGGCCGGGGACAAACTGCAATCGAGGTACATGCCCTTAGCGGGAACCGAACCCGGGTCTCTCAGGACCGCAGGCCGACACTCTAACCGCTGAGCCAAACCGGCCAGGGCCCATGGATAGTTTTGACATTGTGTTATATAGCAAGAATAATTTACTGAAACACTAGAATAAAACATGATTTGTAATGCAGATAATTATTGTTTTAACACTTGTATGTAAATATTACTCTAGCCAGTCATTTCATTTATTTTAATTGAATTTATTGGGTGACATTGGTTTACAAAATCATGCAGGTTTCAGGTGTACAACTCAACAAAACATCATCTGCACACTGCATTGTGTGCCCATCTCCCAAAGCAAAGTCTCTTTCTGTCCCCATTTATGCCCCCTTTGCCGACCTTCACCTACCCCCGCCCTCGTCTCTGGCTATCACCACACTGTTGTCTCTGAGTGTTATATTTATATGGTTTGGTTTGTTTTGCTTAATCCCTTCACCTTCTTTCATCCAGCCCGCCCCCCATCATTCTCCCCTCTGACAGCTGTCAGTCTGTTCCATGTAACCATGCCTCTGTTTCTATTTTCATCAATTTATTTTGTTTATCGAATTCCACATATAAGTGAGATCATATTAGCTTATCATTTTCTAAAATGTGGAAACTATTAATCAGATGAAATGATCCTCTAATAAAGAGTTCTGTAGTGAAGTCAATTTCATGTTATATCCCAATGATGATTATCAGTATGTTTCTTGGTGATTCATAGTATGTTTCAGCATATTAAAGACTCAGCACTTTGGCCTTGAACAAAGCCAGGATTTCTTTTTTTTTTTTTTAATCCTCACCTGAGGATATTTTTACATTTATCTTCAGATAGAGCAGGAGGGAGAGAGGAAGAAAGAGAGAAAGAGAAACATCAATGTGAGACAGACACATCGACTGGTTGCCACCCACACAACTCCAACCGGGGCTGGGGACATACTGCAAGCAAGATTTGTGCCCTTAGTGGGAACTGAACCCAGGACTCTCTGGTCCTTGGGCTTATGCTCTAACTGTTGAGCCATACCAGCCAGGGCAAAGCCAGGATTTCTTAAAAAAATTTTTTTTTTTTTGCTATATAGTCCCCTTTGTTTGAACCAAATCTGTTGATAATATTCCCCAAAACTCTGGATCAAAGGGATATTAAAATAAATTTTGGGAAATGCTGCTATTATGATAATAGCAGCTGACATGTATCAAGCATACATATAGGCCCAACACCCTGGCTCTTTGTATGTATTATCTTCACAACAATTTTATTACATAAAAGAAACTGAGCACAAGAGCACAAGAAACTAACCATATGCTCATGTCATATGATTAGTAAGTGTCGGAGCCAGGAATTAACTCAGGCAGTCTGAATCCCAAGATCTAAGCAGCTGACTACCCCGTTTCTTGGCTTCTCAATTCTCTTACTATTCTGATTTGTTTGATCTCTGACCTGTGAATGTCTCTAAAAGTTATTTTAACTGACAGGTATTTTTATATCTTCACAAAGGGAACTTCCATTCCCCTAGTCTCAGAGCAGAGAGAGAGGAAAAGAATATTTCAGCCTTACTGTAGTACACTTAACTGTAGAAAAATGAACTAGAAAGAAGATCAATTTCTATTCTGCAAATCTTAGGGGTAAGATCATAAAAATTATTATTTGACCCCCTACGTCCATGACAGAAATGTCTTATAACTCCTCAGTGTAGAAGCAAGATTATGAATCGCCCAGGCACCCTGATTCAGAGATATAGAGGACCCACATTGTTCCCACCTAGAAAGTTGCCTTTTTATTTTGTGTGTGTGTGTGTGAGTGCCAACAGATAATGGGAATTTATTGAGGGCCTGGTACTTTGTAATTATTTTACATGCATTATTTCAATCACCACAATTCTTTTTTTTTTTACATTTATTATTTATTGAGAGAACGAGCATGCGAGACATCAGAATTTGAGTTGTTGTTCCACTTATTGATGCATTCATTGGTTGATTCTTGTATGTGCCCTGAACAGAGATTGATCCTGCAACCTTGGTGTATGGGGACAACACTCAAACCAACTGAGATACCTGCCAGGACTCATCATAACTCTTTGAGATAAAACCTCTTTATACCTGTATTACAGATAAAGAAATTAAGACTCAGAGAGGCTAAGTAACTTATTCAGTGTCACAATGTTCTAGTAAATGGTAGGCCCCGGATTTAACCTAGATATAGACCACTGTGTCTTTGAAATGTCATGTAAGGCAGATGAGAATCTACTGCAGGTTTCCTGCTTTGTCTGTGGTTTCTTTTTTTTTTTTTTTATCCTCACCCGAGGACATTTTTCCATTTTTTGTTCAGATAGAGTGGGGAGAAGAGAGAGAGAGAGAGAAACATCGATGTGAAAGGGACACATCAAGTGGTTGCCACCCGCATGACCAACCAGGGCCGGGGACAAACTGCAACCGAGGTACGTGCCCTTAGCAGGAACCAAACCCGGGTCTCTCTAGACCGCAGGCCGACGCTCTACCGCTGAGCCAAACTGGCCAGGGCTGTCTGTAGTTTCTTTATGCTGCTTTAGGACTTTGCTTCTGAGTCGTTTTTACACAGTGAACGCTCATAAACTGAGGGGCAAAGGAGGAAAGAAATGGGCTTGTCTTCTAAAAGATACGTTTGGCTGAGATAAGTGGGAGGGGAAGGGAATGAAATAGAATGTTGGGGTGGATGGAGGAGGAGTTGAATGGGGCAATAGGTAGAAGAGGAATAAAGACAAGATTAGTTTTTGAGCCTGACAGAGTATAAACACATAGTTTTATGACACTGGGCTTATAAATAAGCCTTTCTGGGCCTCAGCTTGCTCATTAATTTCCTACCTCAAAATAGTTGGGTAGATTAAATAATACATGCATACAAAATTCTTAGCATGGTGTCTTTTATTTAGTAGGTGGTCAGTGTTAGCTATTAGTGAATGGTTAGATTTTCATTTGGGGTAGTTTTCATTAGTATTACGTTGGACAGATGTGATCAGGAGATATTAGTATAATGTTAAATATAATATTACAGTGGTGTATGCTATAGCTAATAAAAACAGCGGTAGGGATAAAAAGGAGGAAGTATTTCAGAAATAATTAAAAGACAAAAAGAAAATTTATTCCTGGGTTGGATTCAGGGGCTAACGGTAATGGAGCAGTACAGGCAAATCTCAGGTCAACCCCCATGTATCTACTCTGTCAGGGTCTGGTAATGACCTGCATCCTCACTTTTAAGAAGAGTTTAAGAAAAAAAGTGTGGATAGTCTTCAAAAGTCAGAGAACTGCCCTTGCTGGTTTTCTCAGTGGTTAGAGCGCCAGACTGCGGTCCAGAGAAACCCGGGTTCGGTTCCCGCTAAGGGCACGTACCTCAGTTGCAGTTTGTTCCGGCCCTGGTTGGTCGTGTGGGTGGCAGCCACTCCATGTGTCCCTTTCACGTTGATGTTTCTCTCTCTTCCTCTCTCTCCCTCCCGCTCTATCTGAACAAAAAATGGAAAAGTGTCCTCAGGTGAGGATAAAAAAATTTTTTTTAAAAGTCAGAGAAGCTAAATGGATTGTACACAAGAAGGGAAGAACCCGAATCTGAACCCAAATCTGATCAGCTATGAAACCTAACTCTTTCCCCTGTATCTTGTTGCCTCCCATGGCTTAGAGGGCAGGGTAGAAAGTGATATTATTAAGGGAGAGATCCAGCAGGAGCAGTAAGTCTATAAAAGAAGGCAAGTTGAATTTATTGGCTTATGAAATATTCAAAAAAGAACAGCAGGTCTTTGCAGTAGAAGCTCCAAGTAGAGGTCTGGTCCAGAGAGGTCCACATGAAACATCCACAAAGAGGTGGTGGTTAAAGTCATTGTAATGGATTAAGTTACCTGGACAGGGTATGCATTGAAAGAATAACTGTGGAGAAACCCAGGACAGAAACGGTTGTTAATCCCTGTAGTGTAAGGAGCCAGAAAGGAGAGGACGTGGAACTCTCTGAGGTAGAAAGGAGATCTAGAGGGAGATCGTTGTCTTAGAAGCCAAGGAACTTTGAGTAGGTCCTGCAAACTTCACCCAGGCAGATAACCTAGTGAGTAAAGGACAGACAAGTTGTAAAAAATAAATTCAGAATTAGGAAGTATTAGAAATGAACTGGAGCCCTGGCCACTTTGGTTCAGCGGTTAGAGCGTCGGCCTGCGGTCCTGAGAGACCCGGGTTCGGTTCCCGCTAAGGGCACGTACTTCGGTTGCAGTTTGTCCCCTGGCCCTGGTTGGTCATGCGGGTGGCAGCCACTCGATGTGTTCCTTTCACATCGATGTTTCTCTCTCTCTCTTCCTCTCTCTCCCTCCTGCTCTATCTGTACAAAAAAAAAAAAAAAAGGAAAAATATCCTCGGGTGAGGATATTAAAAAAAAAAAAAATAGAAATGAACTGGAGAGTCCAACTGCCACTTAGCTCTAGCCATTTGCTCCCACATTGGAATTTAGGCTCTATGGTGCAAAGCTCCCCATTTGTTTGTTCCAGAAGAAGCCAAAACCATGAATTCCTATCAGAAACTTTATCTAGTTTTTATGTTACCAATTAATTTAGATTTTTCCAAAAAACAGCGTTTGGCTCAAACAAATTATATCTGTCAGTTATATTTGGTCTGCCGGCCACTGGTTTCCAATCTCTGAATAATGTTTGATATTTTTCCAAAGGAAAGAACAGTCAAAATAAGTCCAGTGAGATACTGTAATAACATGGCAATGTCAAGATCATTGGTCTGCACTGGTGATCTTTTCCAGAGTGATTGCCTGGAGTGATGAGGACACTGCCACACTGAGGAGTGAGGGGTGAATGGGAGATGAGTAAGTTAGCAAGGGTAGAGAGAGATGGGTGGTCGCCTGACCGGTTGGCTCAGTGGTTGAGCATTCACCCATGCACCTAGAGGTCGCTGGTTTGATTCCCAGTCAGGGCACATGCCTGGGTTGTGGGCCCAATCTCCAGTGGGGGGCATGCAGGAGGCGGTCAGTGGATGTTCTCTCTCATCAAAGTTCCTACCTATCTCTTCCGCTCCCTTCCTCTCTCTCTCAAATCAAAAAAGGAAAAAAAACAAAAAGAAAGCTGTATGGTGGAAGACAGACAATGATTGCTAGGTTGGGGTCACAGACAAGACAGTTTTGTGCTTTGATGTGAAGTAACACTAACACAAAAAAAAAAAACCTGTTTTCCTATTTATGGAATTATTTGTTTCTATGTGTGAATTATCTTAATATTCATTTCTTCCCATTTTACAGTTGTTTTTTCACTTACAAAGAGAACGATCCTTTCCTGAATACAGAGCACGGTTTTATGCTGCTGAAATCGCCAGCGCATTGGGTTACTTGCACTCCATCAAAATAGTGTACAGGTATGTTTTTAAAATATTACTTGTAAAATTGTCTTTTTATTGTTTTCTTTTAGCTAATATTCAGGTTTGCTTTTCTTTCCTTTTAATCTGATAGAGACTTGAAACCAGAAAATATTCTTTTGGATTCAGTAGTAAGTATTGTCTTTTAAAAATCTACTAGTTCTCAATTTTTGTTGTTAACGCTTAGTGGAAAAAAGCCAGCCTCAAAGGTTCCACATTGCATGATTCCTTTTTTTTTCCTGGTTAATCCTCACCCAAGGATATTTTGTCCATTGATTTTTAGAGAAAGTAGAAGGGTAGGAGAGAGAGAGATAAAGAGAGGGAGAAGAGGTAGAGGGAGAAACATTGATATGAGAGAGAGACATTGATTGGTTGCCTCCCACATAACCCAAGTGGGCCAGGGATTGAACCTGTAACCCCCTACATGCCCTTGACTGGTAATTGAAACTGCAGCCCTTCAGTCCAAGGGCCAATGCTCTAACTGCTGAGCCAGACTGGCCAGGTATACATGATTCTGTTTTATATAACATTTTAAAATGACAAAACTGAGTGCTGGAGATCAGATTAGTAGTTGCAAACCCCGGGGGGGAATAGGAGAGTGCAAACATAAAGGAGTAGCATCAGGAGTTCCTTTGCTCCTTTGGGATGATGGACAGTCCTCTGTCTTGATTGTGGTGGTAGGTACACAAATCTGTACACCTCTATTGCATATAACTACACATACTTATACACACACACACACAAATGCATGCATATACAAAATAGTGAAAACGGAATAAGGTTGGCAGTCTGGTTAATGATATCGTAGCAACGTCAGTTTCCCAATTTTGATATTGTACTACAGTTATATAAGGTGTCAGCATTGGGGGAAACTGGGTGAGGGGCACATGGAATTCAGTGTACTACTTTTGCAGTTTGCCTTTGTGTCTATAATTATTTCAAAATAAAATACTTTTTAAAATTGTCAGTTTAGACCCAGCCAGAGTGGCTCAGTAGGTTGAACATTGTCTGGTGCACTGAAAGGTTGCTGGTTCAATTCCCAGTCAGGGCACATACCTGGGTTTTGTGTTTCATCCCTGGTTGGGACACATACATAAGGCAGCCTATTAATGTTTCTCACATTGATGTTTCTTTCTTTTTCTCTGTTCCTTCCTCTCTCTAAGCATGTCCTTGAGTGAGGATTAATAAATAAATAAACTAATAAATAAATGAAATTGTCAGTTTATGCTCATGCATTGTTCTATCTTACTGCCCCTGTATTTCTCAGGGACATGTTGTCTTAACAGATTTTGGGCTTTGTAAAGAAGGAATTGCTATTTCCGACACCACCACAACATTTTGTGGGACACCAGAGGTAAGAAGTATGTCTCATTTGTCATTCACATAATCATGTATAAAATGCAGAAATGAATCACAAATTGCATATACAAAATTTTAAATCAGAAAAGTAGAATAAAAACTATCAGCTTCTGCCAGTTGGAAATATTTGATAATCATCCCTTCCAAACATTTAAAGTTTACTGATAGTTGGCATTTTTAACTGTGATTGTGAGATACTGCCAGATATCCCAACAAAGATATAAATTATGCTTGTTTTTAATGTTAAAAGTTGACCGTAGCATTTGATTTTATTTCTAATGCTTAAAAATAAAATACAAATCAGTGATGAAAATGTCCTAAAATTGTGATAATGTTTGCACAACTCTAAAAATATTAAAAGCCATTGACTTGTACACTTTAAATGGTTGAATTGCATGGTTTATATCTTTTTTTTTTTTTTTTTTTGATCCTCACCCGAGGACATTTTTGCATTTATCATCAGATAGAGTGGGAAGGAAAGAAGGGGGAAGAGAAAGAAAGAGAAACATAGAGTGGTTGCCACCCACATGACCCTAACTGGGGCCGGGGACAAACTGCAACCGAAGTACGTGCCCCGTGCCCTTAGTGGGAACCAAACCTGGGACTCCCTGATCTGCAGGTTGACGCTCTAACTGCTGAGCCAAACTGGCCAGGGTGGTTTGTGAATATCTTAATAAGCTCTTTTTTTCCCCCTCACCTGAGGACATTTTTTCCATTTTTTGTTCAGATAGAGTGGGAGGGAGAGCGAGGAAGAGAGAGAGAGAAACATCGATGCGAAAGGGACACATCGAGTAGTTGCCACCCACATGACCCAACCAGGGCCGGGGACAAACTTCAGCCAAGGCACGTGCCCTTAGCGGGAACCGAACCCGGTTCTCTCTGGACCACGGGACAACGCTCTAACCGCTGAGCCAAACTGGCCAGGGCAATAAAGCTCTTTTTAAAAAATAAGCTAAAGCAAATATGGCAAAAGATTGTCATTGCCTATATTTAGGTGGCAGCTTTATTGGTTTCTATTATATCTTAATATTTTTCTGTATGGTTAAAATGTTTTTATAATAAAATTAAGTGTTTATATAACAGAAGAAAATACAAGACAGTGGATGTGGGGGGATATTCACAAATCAGAATTTATTAACCCAAACATCCCATTCTCTAATCATGTTAGCTAGCGGAAATGTGTCTTTCTATTGGAGACAATAGTAATAATCCTTCCAATTTATGTTAAAGCCTTCTTATTCTCAATCTTTCTCTTTTTCACACAAACACACTTAGTTTATTTAAACTTCCAATAATAATAATAATAATTAAACTGTCCTAATTTTAATGTAGTTATAGTGATCTTAGGTGACAGGTAAGTATTTCATCATTATTGTAGAATAATGGCAAATATTGTTGAGAGAATGTGTGATAAAATGGCTCACATGACACTTGTAATCAAGATCGGAAACTTAATTAAAAGTACCTATAAGTAACCATGTTTACTTTAAAGTATATTTTTTCTTTCTTTCTCTAATATAATTCTAGTTCTTGTGTATATTTGTAACCATTCTATTTTTGGTTTATGTCTGAAGAAAGTTTTTCGTGAATGTATATTGATTTCATAGTTAACCAGATCTTTAAGTCCTGTAGGTTTTAGAAAGGAAACACGAGTATTTTTGTCATCTAAGTCTAAATGTGACCAGAAATCATAAAACTCTTTTAATTTATTTTGCCTTTTTTTTTTTAATCCTCACCCGAGGACATTTTTGCACTTTTTGTTCAGATAGAGTGGGAGGGAAAGAGAGGAAGAGACAGAGAGAGAGAAACATCGATGTGAAAGGGACACATCAAGTGGCTGCCTCCCGCACGACCCAGCCAGGGCCAGGGACACACCTCAACCAAGGCACGTGCCCCTAGCGGGAACTGAACCCTGGTCTCTCTGGACCACAGGCCGATCGATGCTCTAACCGCTGAGCCAAACCAGCTAGGGCTATTTTGCTTTTTTTTGAGTACATAAAACTTAAAAAGAAATATTATTAAATATTATTTTCTTATTTCATATGGGAAGAGAAAATATACTTTATGGAATCTGAAGTTCAAATTAGCCATCTTACATGTGTGAAATGGTGATGAGTTTAAGTATTTTACAGTATAAAATGTAAATGGTTATGTAATAACTTAAACAACCTTTCTAAATTATATGTTGAAGAATTACAGTTGTAATTTACTAAGATAAATGCAATTTATTTATTTTTCTTTCATTGAAAAGAAAAAATGAATTATAATTGCCACATTAGGAATTCTTTCTTCAGGAGAAAAGATTATGAGTAATGACCAGAGGGATTTCTAAAATTAATCTCGTAAAAGATTTCCGTCTCCTCCAACCCGCCCCCCCCCCCACACACACAAAATACCTACTTGACCTACTTCATATTACAGAGTTTACATTCACTGCCTTATTCTGTTTGTTTTTTGTCTTACTTGCATCACAGTTTCTGGGGGAAATGTTTGAATAGGTGTATTTTGAAAAATGTCCCAATGGATTTTGAAGAACCACTGGTATAAAATGAAAATAACCAACTGAAAATCTAGATGTTTTTAGTGTGATAGTAACACCTAAAATTTGTTAAATTTCTCAGTAATTCCTAAATGTTGTCTTATTTATTGAGTTTCTCAAATATATTTAATCTTTTCTGTAGTACCTTGCACCTGAAGTCATCAGAAAACAGCCCTATGACAATACTGTAGATTGGTGGTGTCTTGGTGCTGTTCTATATGAAATGCTGTATGGATTGGTATGTATTTCTACTCTTTCATTTTCCAATATATTATAGTTAATTTGCATTTTGTCTTTTCTCTTTCTTTCATTAATCTTGTGGACACTTAGATAACACTAACAGAGCAGTAGTAACCTGGTAAAAAGGAATCTAAAACCATGTATGCACAAAAAGAAAAACTTTTCATTTTGTTACTAGTTTTTTAATATAACTTTTCTCTGTCGTACTAATTACTACTTCAGGTATTCTCCTCCCTCTCCCAGTTAAAAAAAAATAGACATAGTTGTAACATTAAAATTATCCACTTTCATTCAGTTTACCCTAGTCATCAATCTGTATAATTTCAAAAAGATTTATATATTTATTAGAAAATAATGCCTTTTGGGTTTTTCCTTGTATTTTGTATTTGTAGGATTTAATTAATACACTGGTGCTCCACTTTTTCCATCACTGGGAACCCTCTCTTCCATTCACCATATATACCATGTTTTAAGATTTCATTTAAAACAGTGCTGGTTGCCCTGGCTGGTTTGGCTCAGTGGTTAGAACTTCAGCCCGTGGTCCAGAGAGACTGGGGTTCAGTTCCCCCTAAGGGTACGTACCTTGGTTGCAGTTTGTCCCTGACCGGTGGCAACCAGTCAATGTGTCTCTCTCGCATCGATGTTTCTCTTCCTCCCTTTCTCCTCCCACTCTAAGGATAAATGCAAAAAAAATGCCCATGGGTGAGGATTAAAGAATAAAAATAAAATAAAATAATTAAAAAGTGCTGTTTACTATGTGATGTTTCCCCAGTTGTTATTATTAATGACATATTAGGCCAGGCAGAGCTTCTGATTAACATGAGTACATTTGTTTTCCTACATTTAGTTAATACTTCAACAAAAAGCTAACAATTTAGGCATTTTAGTACTTTACATATCCTTATAAGAATAATATATGTTTTTATTTAGCCTTTTGGAAATAATCGGAATCTTTTCTAGGCTCCCTTTGTGGTCCCTTGAGTGTCCAGCAGCCTCAGGCTGGTAAACATCCACTCATCCCCCCTGGTGATGCTCCCACTAAGCTAAATACCACCATCAGCCAAGACCTGAGCTGGGCTTGTTATTTTGTTCTGCTTTTTGTTTTGTCCCCCTCCCCGTCTGGAAAACTGGGAAGCTCTCAATAGTTTAGGAGCATTTGTCACATGGTTAACTTTGAATGACAAATTCTCATGACCTCCAACACTGTCTCTTCTTTGCCCTTGACTGAGATCCACTTGTTAAAAGATCTAGTTTTCTGATTATTCCGGTGACTTAGAACACCTAATAACCACTTTATACCTTTCTTAAAGAGTTGGATATTTGCCATTTGGGTATTTCTGAATCCTTTTAATTTCTTTAGATAACTTTGAAAGTATAAAATATTATTATTGTATATAAAATGCAGTTGATTCAAAAAGGAACATTTGAAACATATACTTCATCGATTATATTAACTATATTAAAATCAAGCAAGATTTTTAAAAGTAAAAATTAAGTTTTTCTTCCTACAGATTATACCCATAATACTGTCACTGCCACAGTACTTAGAAAGGAGCATGATCTTCAGGTCTCCATCTTTATAGGAAATCTCTGTTTTAATTAGTTTATTCCCAAATCTCAAGAAATTATTTAATGTTTGAACTCTGTTTCCAGTAATTCTTTCATTGTGCCTGTGGTAAGGCTGCTGGTGGTTTTCTTTAAAACAGATACTGTTGCAATTTTTATACAGTTGACATCTGCCCACAAGGTGTTATTGAACAGACTGGCTCTAATTCGTTCAGTGAACATGCATTAAGCTCTACAATGTGCTGGGTTTTAGAATCCTTTGACAACAGGAGGCTACATTGCACCCAAAGAGACCTGTGCATTACTGCAAATGTCCATATCCAGTCTGCTCCCTGTAGATCAAGGCCAGATCCAGCTATTTTAACCCAAACATTTTGGCATAGTTCAGTTAACACTAGCTTTATTTTCCTTTTTTTTTTTTTTTTAGCCTCCCTTTTATTGCCGAGATGTTGCTGAAATGTATGACAATATTCTTCACAAGCCCCTAAATCTGAGGCCAGGAGTGAGCCTCACAGCCTGGTCCATTCTGGAAGAACTCCTAGAAAAAGACAGGCAAAATCGACTTGGTGCCAAAGAGGATTTTGTATGTATATCTCTCCCACTTTATTTATGCTTATTTATAATTTGAAGATAAAGCCTTATTTTATGTGGTATTTAATGGGATGAATACAGCTCTTGAAGAAGAGCACCGTGAAAACGTATAACTTGTCTTTAACAATTTTCATCAGTGTTTACATAGAGAGAACTGGACGGTTTCAGCATGCGTGTGCATCCTTTCATTGGATCCTCTCCTCTTCACCCCTCACAACCAGCTTTCACACTTTATATTTATTTGATTTTTATTTATTAGAATTTTTTCTCCTCTCCATTCTTATAAAAAATTGTGGCATAATTTTTGATTATATGAACTTTTAGATCATTTTGTTTAACAGAAACTTAAGTGTTTCCTAATTACATGAGGCAATGCATTTTGCCTTGAACTAAATTAAATCACTTTTTTTTTTTTCTCTGAGAATTTGGTGGTGATACCTCCTTGAGATAATTATGGAATTTGTGGGTTTGGTTTTTCTTCTAAAAGCAGGGTAATACATTGCTAGTTAGTGTGTCAGTCTTCATGAACTATTGAGGAACATGCACAGATAACTGCTCGCTTTTGTTCTAGTTCCTTCCAATCAATAATTAAACATAATCAAGTCTCCTCTTTTTAAACCAAAACCCTCCACTCAGGAGAGCCGATACTGCAGGATAGTACTGTTTTTTTTTCTTCACAGCCAAATTCGTTGCAAGTTTCTGTATGCATTCTCCCTTTCCCAATCTCATCTTATTTCTCATTTTACCACAAAATAGCTACTAGAATTACTGAACACTTCTGTTCCTCAGCTTGCATTCTCAGCAGCATTTAAACTCCCAACACGCTTTCTTTTGTTCCCTAGGCTTCTGCAAGAGCACACACTCGTCTTGTGCTTTCCTTCCTATATTTCTGGGCCTTCCATCATCTTCGGTGTGCGCTCCTCCTCTTCAACTTGACTATTGAGTGTTGCAGTTCCCGTGGTTGTCCTAAAACCCTCTTTCTTCTACTGTGCTGTCTTCCTGGACAATCTCAGTATTCCCTTTGTCTCACACATTTTTATCTTCAGTCTGGACCTCTCTTCTGAACTCTGGATTCATATCATATCTGCCTGTTCAACACCACCCCTTGGATTTCTTGAGAATACCTCAAAACAGCATGTTCAGAGTTGAACTCCTGCTATCTTCCTTCCATGATCCTCAGGTCAGAACTCTGGGAGTCATTCTTTTGTTTGTTTGTTTTTTACATTTATGTATTTATTGTGTGTGTGTTTGTTCTTTCAGAAAATACATGTAAAAAAATTCAAATACTTTTCCAGGGTACACAATGAAAAATGTAACCTCCCACCCCAGATCCTTTTCTTATTTTATAGAAGTCATCACTATCAGTATTTTTTTCTTTTTTTTATCCTCTCAGCAAACTACTTGATAATACCAATCTCCTCCACACCAATTTTTTTTTACACAAATGATGGTACAATATACTCTGTTCTATACCCACTTTTATTATTTATCCTGAAGATCTGTCTTTCTGTATCAGTAGTCTCTTATATGACTGTAAATTTAATATATTAAATAATTTTTTTCTAACCCTACTTTCAAATACTTTTTATTAAATTTATTGGGGTGACATCAGTTAATTAGATTATATAAGTTTCGAGTGTTGTACATTATCTGTTGTGTGCCCACCATCCAAAGTTTAGTCTCCTTCTGTCACCATATAATTGACTCCCTCTACCCTCTTTAACCTCCTCCCACCCACCTTGCCTTCTGGTAACCATACTGTTATCTGTGTCTCTGAGGTTTCTGTTTGCTTTTTTGTTTATTTGTTGCTTTTTTTTTTATATCTCACATATGAGTAAAATCATAGGTTCCTGTCCTTTTCATCTGACTTATTTCGATTACCATGATAGAGTCATTCTTGACTCTTCTCTCTTCCTTACTTCCACATTCAACAGTCAGCCAGATCCAGATGTATTTGCCTCCCTAAATCTTTCTCATATCCAGACACTTCTCTCTATGCCCTTTGCTACTCCTCTTTTCCTGGCAATTCCATCTTTTGTTTGGCCACAACAGTAGCTATTTATTTTAATCTTGTTATGAATCTCCAGTTCATTCCTCCTTTACAGTCAGAGTAGTCTTAAAAAACAAACCAAAAAACGCTTACATTTGTGACATCCCCCCGCCTAAAACTCCTTATAGCTTCCTGTATCACTAGAATAAAATGTAAAATTTCCTACTGTAGGCCCATATGATATGGCTCACTTACCTCTTGAGTTTCACCTTATGTGACCATCCCCACTTTCCCTGTACTGCAACCACACTGGATTCTCATTTCCTTGACCGAGCTAAGCTCTTTGCCACCTCAGGGCCTTCATATTCTGCCTGGAATGTTCTCTCCTCATTCTTTTTTTTTTTTTTAATTTATTGGGGTGACATTGGCTAATAAGATTATATAAGTTTCAGGTGTACAGTTCTGTAGTATATCATTTGTATATTGCGTTGTGTGCTTACCACCCAAAGTCCAGTCTCCCTCTATCTTTGACCCTTTTGTCTCTTCATCCTCCTCCTATCCTCTTCCCCCTAGTAACCACCCATCTGTTGTCTGTCTAAGAGTTTATTCATTTGTTGCTTTTTTGTTTTGTATCCCACATACCTCATTGTTTAGCTAATTCTCTTTTTTTTGGAGTGAGGGGGAGCATCACAAGGGAGCAAATGCCCCCGATCTCTGGATGCAGCCCAATCAATCAATCAATCAGTCTACTTATTTATTTATTTATTTTACAAATGTTTCTCCTTTTTCCCCTGCAGACACCCTTCTCCCTGTCCCGCCCCCCCCCCACTCCCCCATACCCAACCATTGTTGTCTATGTCTGTTGGTTATGCTTACATGCATATAAGTTCTTTGGTTTATCTCATCCCTCCCCAATCCCAACCCCCTCCTCTGAGGTTTGTCAGTCTGAATCATATTCTGGGTCTGGTTTGTTCATCAGCTTTTTTTGTTCATTATATCCCACAAACAAATGAGATCATGTGGTATTTGTCTTTTTCTTCTTGGCTTATTTCTCTTAGCATAATACCCTCTTGGTTCCTCCATGTCATCTCAAAGGATACTAGATCTTTCTTTCTTACAGCTACATAATGTTCCATTGTGTATATGTACCGCAGCTTTTTCATCCACTCATCTACTGATGGACACTTGGGCTGTTTCCAGATCTTAGCAATTGTAAATAGTGCTGCTATGAACATAGGGGTACATATATTCTTTCTGATTGGTGTTTCAGGCTTCTTAGGATATATTTGTAGAAGTGGGATCACTGGGTGAAATGGCAGTTCAATTTTTAATGTTTTGAGGAAACACCATATTGTTTTCCACAGTGGCTTCACCCTTCTGCATTCCCATCAGCTTGTCTAGCTAATTCTTACTCATCTTTCAGGACTCTGGTCAGACATCATTTTCTCTAAGAAGTCTTTTTAAACCACCGAACTAGGTTGGGTCCTACTTTATACACTTGTGTGGCACCTGCAGGAAAAAAAAAGCTGGAATCCGTTCTATGCCAACTTTTGATAGTAGCAACCCAGAGTGGAATACTTTTGCTAGTAGAGCTCATTATCTGCCTCACTGTTTAAAGTCTCTTGTCTAACTTCTTCATCTCCCCCATTCAGATAATAATAATAATTTTTGTACCTATGTAGTACTTTTTTTTACCACTCTTATTTTTATATTTTCTTTTTTTTAATTAATTAATTTTTTATTAATTAATTTTTGTTACAGATGTTTCTCCTTTTTCCCCTACTGATTCCCCCCTCCCCCCACTGCCCTGTCCCCAGTTTGTTTGTTGTCCATGTCCACTGTTCATGCATACATGCATATAAGTTCTGTGGTTTATCTCTCCCCCACCACCCCCTCCTCTGGGGATTGTCAGTATGTACCCCACTTCCACGTCTCTGGGACTACCCCATTCCTCAGACGGTTATGTTCATTATATTCCACAAATAAGTGAGATCATATGATACTTGTCTTTCTCTGTTTGCCCTGTTTCGCTTAGGATGATGCTTTCCAGGTCCCTCCATGTAGTCTCAAAGGATAAGAGATCTTTCTTTGTTACAGCTGCGTAGTACTCCATTGTGTATATGGACCACAGCTTTTTTATCCATTCGTCTACTGATGGACACTTGGGCTGTTTCCAGATCTTAGCTATTGTAAATAGTGCTGCTACAAACATGGGGGTACATATATTCTTTCTGATTGGTGTTTCAGGCTTCTCAGGGTATATTCCTAGAAGTGGGATCACTGGTTCAAATGGAAGTTCAATTTTTAATTTTTTGAGGTAACACCATATTGTTTTCCATAGTGGCTGCACCAGTCTGCATTCCCACCAGCAGTGTACTAGAGTCCCCTTTTCTCCACACCCTCGCCAACACTTGTGGTTTGATGATTTGTTGATGGCGGTCATTCTGACAGGTGTGAGGTGATACCTCATTGTTGTTTTAATTTGCATCTCTCTGATGATTAGTGATGATGAGCATTTCTTCATATGTCTCTTAGCCATTTGTGTGTCCTGTTTGGAGAGGTGTCTATGTAGTTCCTCTGCCCATTTTTTAATTGGGTTCTTTGTCTTCCTTTTGTGGAGTTGTATGAGCACTCTATATATTATTTTTATATTTTCCATTTATCCTAAACCCTTTAAGTATCTAGGGAAAAAATGTTAACTTCATTTTACCTTTGAAGAAACTATGGTAGTGAAGAGGATAAAGTCTGTCATGTCTGCTCAGGTAGTCTTTCTGCTGTACCATTTTGCCACGTGAATAACATAAACATGTATCTAAAAAGAATTATTGAGGGACAAAGTAGTAATCATTTGGCTTCATAATATTTTTCAGTAAATACTTAAAATGTATTCTTCAGCATTAGTTAAATTTTTTTTTTCTTTAATATTCTAGCTTGAAATTCAGAATCATCCCTTTTTTGAATCACTCAATTGGAATGACCTTGTACAAAAGAAGATTCCACCACCGTTTAATCCTAATGTGGTAAGTATATATCCAAGTCCTTTCTTCTAAAATAATGAAATGTAGAACCATAGCTCAAAATAATTGTTTTTATTTTAAACATGTTTTTTTTTCATTGATTTTTTTAAAAAAAATATTTGACAGAGTGGAAGGAAGGGAGGGAGGGGGGGAGTGGGGGAAACAAGCATCGACGTTGAGTGAGACACATCGATTGTTTGCATCCCACACAGCCCTAGTCAGGGCAGGAGAAACCTGTAATCCAGGCACATGCCCTTGATTGGAATTGAACCCTTGACCCTTCAGTCTGAGGGCCAGTGCTCAAACTGCTGAGCCAAATCAACCAGGCACTCATCATAATTTTAGCCAAAATTTCAAAATCCAACCTGAATGAAATTGAATCATTATGTAAATATTTGCTAATATGTCACTCAGGGTTGTCTAGTATAACTGATAACTTCGAGATGACCAGTAAGATTATAGTTATATTAGACTGATAAAAATATCTTCCAGTACAATAATTGTGAAGTATTTCTTTGAGCAGGAATAAGAGATGAGCTAAATAGGTTTTAAAAAATAATGCAAATTGAAGTAACCATGAGGTATAATTTTCATACCTATAAATCAGACTAAATAAGAATTATTCTGCTCAGATTTTGTTAAAGGTCAGCTTGAGTGCATAGCGCATAGTTGGTATCAATAGGTGTGATATTGTACAAAAACATAACAGTTTTTGTAGATTGACTTTCATCCAGGAGTGACTGTTTCAGACATGAATCCAGTAGGGACAATTTCTGTCCCTAATTTCTAGTGTTTGCAATAAGAACCTTGGATCTTTAGCCCTGGCCAGTTTGGCTCAGCAGTTAGAACCTCAGCCCACAGACCACAGAGTCGTGGGTTCTATTATCAGTCAAGGGCACGTTACCTCGGTTTTGGGTTTGATCCCCAGTCCCAGTCAGGGTTGTATGAGAGGCATCCAAATTGATGTGTCTCTGTCACATCTATGTTTCTCTCTCTCTCGCTCACTCTCTTTCTTTCGCACGCGTGCCTTCCTTCCCACTATATCTAAAAATAATCCATGGAAAAGTATCCTCGGGTGAGGATTTTAAAATAATTTAATTTTTCTCCTTATATTGAGAGCCTACTGAGTTAAGTTATTTGCAAATAGATGGGTCATCAGGCAGGCACATTAAAAAGTTAGGGACTCCTCCTGAGCTACACTGGAAATGGAAACTGTTGACTTCAGAGTCAGATACCTGCAGGTTTGGATCCCTGCTCTTCTATGATTAATTAATTGAACTTTTTAAAGCAAGACCCACAGCACAGAAGCCATAAGAGGGAAATAAATGGTAAATTTGACCACATAAAATTTAGAAATGTCTGCATGAAAAAAAACTGCAAATAAGAAACTGGGGAAAATTTCCTTAGTAAATAAAGTATTTTTATAAGTCAAGGAGAAAAAAAAGACCAACAACCACTAGAAACGTGGACACAGGACACAGATATGCAATTACAGAAAAGTAAAGGTGGTTTTTAAATATATGTAAAGGTGTTCAGACTCACTGACAGTTGAAGAAATGCAAAATAAAACCCTAACAGTTTATTGTTTTTCACCTTACAGATTAACAGAAATAAAAAAGTTAGCTATAGCCCTGGCTGGTTTTGCTCGGTGGTTAGAGCGTTGGCCCACGGACCAGAGAGTCCCGGGTTCAGTTACTGCTGAGGGCCCGTACCTCGGTTGCAGTTTGTCCCCGGCCCCCGTTGGGGTCGTGTGGGTGGCAGCCACTCGATGTGTCTCTCACGTCGATGTTTCTCTCTCTTCCTCCCTCTCTCCCTCCCGCTCTATCTAAAGATAAATGCAAAAAATGTCCTTAGGTGAGGATAAAAAAAAAAAAGTTAGCTATAGAGGATAAGGTTATCGATATTCTCATTCACTGTTCTCAATAGTTGTATCCTTTTCCTTCACCCTGACAACAGTCCTATTAAATAGTACTGTTATTTTACACGTAATACTGATGAGTGAACTCAGGCACAGAACATATTAAGTAACTGTCCCACAGTTTAGATAAAGTTCAGAACTAGAGTTTGAGAATTTTGAAGATAGAGACCTCCCTCACTCTTAACAAAAGAAATAAAGTATTATCCCTATCAGTTCTAGCCATAAGGGCATTCTCAAAATATTCATAAAGTCAGATAAAAGAACATTTGTCTTTTTTTTTTTTTTGTCCTCACCCGAGGACCTTTTTTGCATTTATCTTCAGATAGAGCGAGAGGGAGAGAGAGACACATTGAATGGCTGCTACCCACATGCCCCCAACCGGGGCCAGGGACAAACTGCAACCAAGGTACATGCCCTTAGTGGAAACTGAACCCGGGACTCTCCGGTCCTCTGGTCGATGCTCTAATTGCTGAGCCAAACTGGCCAGGGCATATTTGTCATTCTTTATTGAGTATCTTCTACATGTCAGATTCTGGGAATTTTAAGTATTAATGCATCAAATCCTCACAACAACTTTTAACAGGTGGGTGGCAGTATTCTTATTTCACACAAGAGACAAGCTCACAGAGCTAGTAGTTTATATAAAGAATACAGCTAGCAAAATTCACAGCCAGAACTGAAATCTTAGTCTTATTCCAGAGCTTTCTATAGTTGTATGTAAGAATTTGATGACATCACACACACACACACACACACCTTTTTTTTCCTAGTATTTATTTTCCTCTGTGGGTGTATTTCTCATGTAGAAGGATAAACATTCTGGGTTTCCCCTGGTCTTTGCTGTTTGTAGACCTACCAGGCTAACTGTATTCTCAGCTTATAATATCTGCTTTGAATCCCTATCTGTTCACCTTGATTAGACTTGGTGACCTGAACGTTTTAAGGCTTCCCTTTCTCTTAGAGCAGTGCTAACTAGAACTTCAGGGATGGGCTTTAACAGTGAATTTGTAGCCCAGTTTTTATCTGTAAATACATTGGAAAGGGATAGGCCATTCACTTGTATCAAATTTATAAAAGAAGACTAATGTCCTGGCTGGTTTTGCTCAGTGGTTAGAGCATCAGCCTGCGGTCCAGAGAGACCTAGGTTCGGTTCCCTCTAAGGGCCCGTACCTCAGTTGCAGTTTGTCCCTGGCCCTGGTTGGGTCGTGTGGGAGGCAGCCACTCAATGTGTCCCTTTCACGTTGTTGTTTCTCTCTCTCTCTCTCTCTCTCTCTCTCTCTCTCTCTTCCTCTCTATCCCTCCCACTCTATCTGAACAAAAAATGGAAAAATGTCCTCAGGTGAAGATAAAAAAAAAAGACTAAGAACAACTGCCTTTGAGCCTAAGCAGATACACTGCTTTATTCCCAGTTTCCTGGTCCTCTCAGGCCATTAGAGATAAGGGTGTCATAGCTGAATGCTTAATGACCTCTGTGGCACAAGAGTGACCTTTCACAGTTTTACTTTCAACCCCTTCATTCCTTCATTAAAATACTTCACCTACCCAGAATTGAGAAACTGGATGAACAGACATTTAATGGAAGCTGAAATTCAGAGTGCTGTCCTGAAAACCTACCTGAACCCTTTTTCTAAACGTAGAGGTGATGGGTAGAGAGAAAGGGTGTCAGTTACAAGGACTGAGATTCATATTAACATAGGTAAGGACTCTTAATTCCTCACCATTATCCGTCTTCCCTCCACCCAATAGTAAGAACATTACCTGTTAGATGGACCTCACCTAAGTAATAAAAGCAGAAAATGTTTCAAAGCGATGATGACATAAGACGACATCTGAACTTGCCAAGAATAAATGTACAAATTCAAAAAGGGTTTTTAATGAAGAACTAAATTAATGGAAAAAGCTAAGGTGAATAACAGTATTCCTTTGACGTTTTAGGCAGGACCAGATGATATTAGGAACTTTGATGCTGCATTTACGGAAGAAACAGTTCCATATTCTGTGTGTGTGTCTACTGATTATTCTATAGTGAACGCCAGCGTACTGGAGGCTGATGATGCATTCGTTGGTTTCTCTTATGCACCTCCTTCAGAAGACTTATTTTTGTGAACATTTTGCCATCCGGAAACCATTGAGCAAATATAGGTCTACGTACAGATGATACTGAAATTCCTGTTTGTGTGAATACATTCAAATACGTTTAACTAGTGCCTCATTTTTACATGTAATGTTAACAACTATGAAAAATGTATTTTCTGCTGTATGCAAGAAAATAGGGCATTTCAAAGAGCTAAGTTTTGAATTAAAATTTGTAGTCTTGTTTATTAAGCTTATTTTTAAACAGAAATTTTAAAAGCTATTGTTCTTGATATTAACCTATTTTTAAAGAAAACTTTTGCTGATGACTGTTTTCCCCCTCTAAGTTTACACTAATATCTGCTGAAGATAGACTGTTTTTCAACAGTCTGTTTCAGTTCAGTTAACATACATTAATGCCTTTATAACTCTCTACTTTGACCTTTGTCCTCAGATCAGAGCTATGCAATTGGTATGTGGTTGTTTAAGAAGAAACCATATCTGTCCATAATAAATTACTGCTTGCCATACTTAGTCTTGGTAGGATTAAAATGTAAAAGCATAGTTAATACATTGGCTGCTAATTAACACTTTCAAAACTGTTCATTCTGCAGATCAAATTAAGAAGTAACAAAAAAAGGCCCTGGCTAGGTATCTCAGTTGGGTAGAGCACTGTCCCAACTGACCAAGGTTGTGGGTTCGATCCCTGGATAGGACACAAAGGAGAATCAACCAGTGAATGCATAAATAAGTGGAACAACAAATGGATGTCTCTTCTTTCTCTCTCTTTTTCTAAAATCAATAAAAAGAAAAAAGTGACAAAAGGAAATCTTTTGCTTTTGAAATACCAATTTAAATTTGTAAATTATTTTTCCTCTGGAGTAAAAGTAAACGTTTAATAGTTGGCATTTTAAACATTCCCAAAGATTTGAAGTAATGAAGTACTGCTGGATTTTTTTTTAAGGTGGTTCCAAAATGAATGTCGCTCTGTCATGTATTTATATTACAAATACATCCTATTTATGTTCTTTTTGGTCTTTTGGATGTGTAATATACTGTAAAGTAGGTCTAAATCTTGGTACTTAGTTTTGCAAATAGCTTTTCAAAACTGTCTCCTGCCCTGGCCATTTTGGCTCAGCAGTTAGAGTGTCGGCCTGCAGTCCAGAGAGGCCTGGGTTCAGTTCCCGCTAAGGGCATGTACCTCGGTTGCGATTTGTCCCCGGCCCTGGTTGGGCCGTGTGGGTGGCAGCCACTCAATGTGTCCCATTCACATCGATGTTTCTCCTTCTCTCACTTCCTCTCTCTCCCTCCTGTTCTATCTGAATAAAAAATGGAAAAATGTCCTTGGGTGAGGGAAAAAAACAACAACTGTCTCCCCAATTAGTTGACAAATGAAAAATACTGAGCTTTCTAGAGTATTTACCTAATCGGGAATTAAAAAGTAGAATAGCAAATTCTGGATCAGTATAAATGTATACAGTTTCACTATAGTGTAAAAGAAGTTAAAAATCAGATGCCTAGCCAATATCTTATGTATCAGAAAATGTACAGGAAATTGACCTTAAAGTCATAACTAAAAACCAACTAACATGTGTACTTGTAATTGTGTAAAAGAATATAGCTACAGAAAAACTAAAAAAAGAATGCTGGTCTTGGAATTCTGACTTTTAGTTTAGAGATGTTTCAAGTCATGTAGGAAACCTGGTGAAAGAGTTTAGTGACCCAGTTTAGATGCTTCAAGAACAAGCATTCTTTCCATGTATTTTCTCTTGAGAAAGAAATCACAGAAGTGTTTCACACCAATACTCTTTGGCTTTAAAATGTTCAGCAGCGCCCTGGCCGTTTTGGCTTAGCGGTTACAGCATTGACCCGCGGCCAAAGAGAGACCCGGGTTCATTTCCTGCTAAGAGCATATACCTTGGTTGCAGTTCATCCCCAGCCCCAGTTGGGGTTGTGTGGGTGGCAGCCAGTCGATGTGTCTCTCTCACATTGATGTTTCTCTCTCTCTCTCTCTTCCTCCCTCTCACCCTCCTACTGTATCTGAAGATAAATGCAAAAATGTCCTTGGGTGAGGATAATAATAATAAAAAAAATGTTCAACAGAATGCAGGGTGGGGAGTATGCTTTTCTTTGATTAATATTTGTATTCAATACACTGAATCTTCCTTTACAGGTAAGACATTAATAGCAACACTGTAAATATTTTGTTTATTTGGCACTACTGTAAGTTTTGCTTTTACACAAAGCTCTTTGCTTATTGTAAAGCAAAATAAAAACTAGTTTCTTGTATGATTTTTTTATACTCAGTCACTCCTTAATTAAACTTCCAAAAATTAAAGTGCAATATTGTATATTTTTAAGAACAAATTTAAAATGGAATATTGATATTTTTCGGATCTCAAAAAATATAAATCTTACATACTATAATAAAACTAGCAAACAAAGCCCAGCCAGTGTGGCTCAGTGATTGGGCATCAACCCATGCATCATGAGGTCGACAGTTTGATTCCCAGTCAGGGCACGTGCTCAGGTTGTGGCCCTGATCCCCAGTAGGGGGCATGCTGGAGGTGGCCAATTGATGTTCTCTCATTGATATTTCGATCTCTCTCTCCCTCTCCCTTCCTCTCTCTGCAAAATCAATAAAGGAAAAAGAAAAAAATATATATTTTAGAAAAAAAATTAAACTAGCAAAAAGAGTAATGATCATCTAATACCTGTCATTACTTTAAATTAAAATTGATGATGGTTACAGTAGTCATTACAAAATGAATTACATATATATGTGTGAAGAAGGCAAGTAAAATTTTAACTAAACATTTGGACATGTATAAATTACTAGATTATTCTATATCCCAAGGTGATTGTTCCTTTATTTGAAACCCTAAAATGTACATTGGTGTGTTTCAGGTGGCTTGAGTACCTTGAAGTGATGATATTCCAAGTTTTGAGCAACTGAACAAAGCTATGTGAATCAAAAGGATTCACTGCTATAAAAAGATAGGCTTTCTTCACTGCCACTTTGTTCTTTACTCGCCTAATACTAAGATAAATTACTCTCTAACTCCCCTGAATGCATTTCAGTTAAAGATTTATATAATTCATTAAATATTTTTGTGTCTTACCAATATTGTATAATCAATCATTTTTAACCCTTTAAACATACTCAATAGTTGAAAGGTTTCCTACACGAAAATATTTCTCATTTATTGTTTCCTTAAGTTATACCCATTTTTACAGAGATAATTAAATAAAAAATATAGCTGTCTCAAAATGTAACTTTTTAGTTCTTCAAAGTCAGGATAGTGGAGAATAATTTAAAACAATGTTACACAAAGAAAAAAAGCCAATAGAGAAGTATAAAGTAAGCGTGATACAGCAATCAAGTAGCCAACCAAAGGGTCCTATACTAAAAAGTTGTTTTTACATAATGTTCTGAAAATGATGGATCATCATATGAATCTTGAGGGAATTGTGTAAAACAAAGAATAACATCACTCTATGTAACCCCACTTAACTGGAAGAACCAGATATGGTGATTTTAGAAACTTTGCATGCAGACATGGGAGGTATTACTGTAAATTCTCTCCAGTTATATATATTATAGATTCATCATTTTTTTCTAAAACATTTTCACTTTATTAAGGAACAGAGATTTCCACTTCAATATTAGTTCAGTCTTTGTGAGAAAATCTACAATGAGTTGTCAGTAGTTAAGTGTTTTATGTTTAGCTCATGGAATCCAGAGGCTCATGTACAGGAAAACACCCACACTCATGGTCAAATTCAATCTCCTGTTGGGTATTTTCAGTTCTTTCCAGATAGTAGTTGGTTGACATACCCTTGCAGTGCTGAATTTTTCTCTTATGATGGTCATAATGTGACAATAACAGTTTACTTTCTTAGTAATACATTAATGTTGAACACCAACACTTAATTTACTCTAGTAAAATATCCCCTAGCAGTATGCTTCAATTAGATATCAAAAATTAGACCTCAAAAGCAAATAAACTGTTCTTGTTTGCAGATTACATGAATATCTTTGTAGAAAATCCAATAGAACTTTGCAAAGTTCTGGAACCTAATGATTATAGCAAGACTGCATGATTACAAGGTTAAAATACAAAAATCATTTTCTTATATATCAGCAATAAAAAGTTTGAAATTAAAAACACTATTTACATGGTAGTGAAAAAAATTAAAAACAAGCAAGAAAACACCACCATTTAGCACCCCCTCCCCCAAATAAATGGGTAGTAATACTAAAAATACGTGTAAGATCTATATGAGGAAGGGTGTCGATGGGGGGGAGGGGAAGAGAAACATCTATAACAAAAATAAATTTTAAAAAAAAAGATCTATATGAGGAAGACTACCTTCTCTGTACAGATTTGCCTGTTTTCTACATTTCATATAAACAGAATTACAATATTTGGTCTTTTCACTTTGCAGTGTTCTCAAGCCTCATCAATATTGTAGCATGTATAAGAACCTCAGTCCTTTTTATGGCCAAATAACTCCGTTGTATGGATATACCACACTTTATCCACTTTTGGGCTACTAATAATACAATGAACATTTATGTATAAATTTTTATGTGAACATGTGTTTCAAATTCATATCTGTATAATGTATATAACATGTGGCTTGGAATTTTGGGTCATACAGTAAGTAATTAAATGTTTAATCTTTTAAGGTAGTCCCGGAATGTTTTACCAAGTGCACCATTTTGCATCCCACCAGTAAATTTTACCTTTTTTAACAGACGTAGACGCTGTCGTTGGCCTGCGATAACAGTAACAATCAAGAGTTTTTATCTTTTTCTCTCTGCTTTGCACGGAGGGAGCGGGAGTGATTGAAGGGGTGGAGCGCCCGTGGGCCTAGTTGCCCTGGTGACTGGGAGGCGCGGTCCCGGCAGCCCCCGCGCTGCCGCCAACGGCCAAAAGGTGCGCGCATGCGTGTTAGGGCCTCCTTGGGTCTCACCCTCGGGGTGACGCGCGGCTGGCGGAGGTCGGTGGGTGCGAGAGTGGGTGTAACGCACTGCTGGGCAGAGGTCCGCAGTCCCGGAGGTCGGTGCTGTGGATGGGAGGGGTCCTGCTCCCCAGGGTGTGAGGCCGGATTCGCTTTCGGCCGCTTTAGTTGTGAGGAGTTTTCCTGCTGACGCGAAAGGGAGCGAGGACACGACCCGCTCGTGTTCCAGGTGAACCAGCACTTGGGCTCTTTGGACTGAGAAGGCTGCTAGAATTTGATCCACGTTCGCTGAACGCTCCCCACCGGCGTCCAGGTCCTGTCCTCCGCTTCCCCCGGCCACGCCAGGACCTCCGCTTTACCAGGTGATGCCCAGAGCTGCGCCCAGCTGTTTTTAAGCTACTGAATCAGTTCGCGAGATCCTGGTGCTTCTCTGGGTGTCTGCCCCCGGAGCCCGTCAGAGACAGACTCCCTCCAGTGAACTTTAACCTTAGCATGTTCCCGCCCTCCCCCGGGGTTCAGCGTTCCCATTAGGGCAGCAGCACCCACCCGCACCCGTGTTGAAAATTCACTTGCCGGCTCAGTTCTAACGCCCTCCATGGGCCCCTCCATCCCTTAGGACTTTGTCAATAGCTAGAAATGGATGGTCGACTCTTCCTCTATCCAGCGCATTTCCCATGCTGACGGCAGGCACTGATTTCCAAAATAAAAATCTGACCATAGTACTTGTTAAAAACGTTGATGGCTTCTCTTTGTCTATATGATGATCATGGACTTCAAAAGCTTTCATAATTTGATTAAGCCTCACCCAATCATTTCTTTAGCCTCCATTCAGCCCCAGAAATATGTCCTAATGAAGCACAGATGTCATGTCCTGAACACAGCATCCACTTTAAGATTATCTTCCGAATTTACGGCCACACAGAAATGAAACCTTAAGTGTCTTCCCTATATAATAGTGAAAAGGACACAGTCTCAATTACTTTTCTTTGATAAGTGCCCTAAACTCCAAGTAGTAGGGATTTGGATTCAACAGTGTAGGTTTGCAAACGGGAAAGGGGAGGTTACCCCTATCTTTGGAAAACTCTCCTCTCTCCACCTTTCCTCCACTTAGTGAAATCTGACTCATCTACCAAATGTCACCTTTAAAGTAGAATGCATTGCTTCTTCCCTATGAACTCAACATGTTAAATCAAAATGTCCTGAGACAGTAGAAAACA